CTAGGAAGGATAAGATTTTTTTCAATGTAATATATTGATTTTACCCGTGACCCTGCCTATTTTCAAAGCCTTATTAATTTTGGGCTTAAAATGGCATTATCAAGAGTAAATGGCTATTTAGGATATCGTCTAGAAATCCCGAAAGAGTGTTTAAATATAGAGAGAAATTATAAATTACTTTGATAACAACAAGTTGCGAGTTGTCTTTTGCACGTCAGTCAGTCCGTCAATCCTTTTGTTATTTCTTTATTTTTTTATAAGCATAAACAGCTGCATAAAATTTCATGAAACTTTGTAGATAATTAGGACACAATGCACAGATGTGCATATTACTAAAACAGGCACGTAGCAATATAATTGTTTAAAATTTGCATTAAAAGGCCGGTTGTCCCTCACCCCGCTTTGTGATACAGTAAAGTAAAATAAGGGTAATGTACAAGTAGTATTTTATGGGGGGTTGTACTGAAAGAAGTTGGAACTTTAAAAAGCCCCCCCCCCAATAATATTTTCTTTTTAGGGCAATTTTTCACTTTTTAACTTTTTCAGGTAAGTTTTTTTTCTCTTGCTGACCCCTTTCCCCTTTCAAAAACGATGCTACGTCATTGCAAGAAATTTTAATTTCTTTGGTTTTCTGGGTGAAGACTTTGTAAGCGCAACCCTGCTTAAGAGGGCGGGGGAGGGGGTTCGGGGTTGGTTCGTGGTCATTTTAGACAATATTGCTCTTTAGAAGAAAATGATCAAATTTAACAGCTGAAATAAATCATTTTTTCTTATCAAATGATAGTTTACATCTTTTAAAATCTAAATAGCATACTTTCTGTTACGGCTTCCAGATCTTCAAGCTGATCATATACGTAAGACCTGTAAGAAAAATGTTATCTTCGTTTAGTAGATAAATAATCTTCTTAAAATCAAATCTAGAAGACATTCTGTCCTACTTCTGCGATTTCATTTTAATCAATTCGTTTGGAAACTTTTCCGAGATTAAATGTATTAGGTTATTCACGCATTTTATTGTTCGTTTGTTTGTTTTTTTTTTTTTTTGTTTTGTTTTTTTTTTTTTGGGGGGGGTGTACTAGGATCAACCGCATGTCATTCATGTGTTGTGTGTTTTTTTTTTTTAAAGGGGGGGGGGGGTGTGCATTTGTGTGTGACTCCTTCAACGAAAGGAAGAATGAATAATTCTTGCCTTCAAACAATGTATGCTTACACTGTGAAATATTTTTAGAGAATAATATTTATGACCCACATTCTCAAAAATGTCGTTTATCTCAATTGAAAAAGAAATCATCAATAGAGGAAAATGAAATGAAATACTCATACCTGTTTTTATATAGAAGTAAACGTATGTCACCAATTGATTCGAACCAGGCCACTATAAAAATGTTGAATGCCAGTCTCAACACATCCGAGCTTTTCTAATTAAAAGGATATTAAACATAAATATAACCATATAATTAAAGAAATTTTTTTCATTTTCGGGGTTTTTGTACTTTTCACCCACGTCGGTACCCCCTGAAAAGCTTTGTTCAAATAATATTCCTTCGATAAAAACCTATCAAAATATCAGATTCTTTGAGGGGTGGACAGGGGGCTGCTTTGGATGAGACGTCTAAGTCAACATGTAAAATTTATTTTTTTTACTGTTAAATAGATTAAAATTGCATTTGTAAATGAAATTTAGGTTCTTTCGTTTTAGCAATCAAAAGCACGACAACTATTGGCATGCCCATCTATTCATGATATAAAACATGCTATAAAGAAATCCGGATAACCACATATTATATCGTTTGTGTAACATATTTTATCTTGTAAACATGACTACCAGGGTTAATGTTATCTCGTCCGTACGACTTATTATGTCGTACGTACGACTTAGTATCTCGTTCGTACCACTTATTATGTCGTACGTACAACTTTGTATCTCGTTCGTACGATTTATTATGTTGTACGTACGACTTATTATCTCGTTCGTAAGACTTAATATTATGTCGTACTAACTACTTATTATCTTGTACAGTGTACGTACGACTTATTATGTCGTACGTACGACATAGTATCTCGTTCGTACGACTTAGTATCTCGTACGTACGACGTATAATCTCGTACGTACGACTTAGTATGTCGTACATACGACTTAGTATCTCGTACGTACGACTTATAATCTCGTATGTACGACTTAGTATGTCGTACATAAGACTTAGTATCTCGTACGTACGACTTACAAAAATATTTTTTTCAAGTGACAGCAATACACTTCCGTAGATTAAAAATACAATTATAGTGAAAATTATAAATTTATTCCTCGATACGTATATCTGAAACGTTAACAGTGACATGTGTAAAGCTGTATCAAATCTATATTTAAATATATTTTATGTATTTTTTGAGTATTAAAATCTTTGTATCAAATTAAAAGGAATTTAATTGCTTGTTTGCTTCTGTATTTTCAGTAAAAATGGTTCTTTTAAAAGGATTTGACTATCATTTTATTTATCCCTTTGTTTGTATCTCTTTCTTCCAGCTATCTGACTGTCTGTCTCTTAAACATCCGGGGCTTTAAGACATTCCCTTGACTAGATAGAAAACACAGTAAAACTTCAATAATTACCATTTATATAGCACAAGGGCATATATAAATATTTTGGCAAGTGATATCTCATTGTTCAGCAAAGGTGGATGTGTGTTTCTCTTAGATATAACAAGCGATTTCTAAATTTTATATCATTAAGGGTTGCAACTGCAACGCTTAATGATACACTAGTGTGTATCATTAAGCGTCGAATATGTCGATATTTGCTTGTTTCATTAAGCGTCGGTGTTGCACTGCATTTGTGACGCTTGATGATATAATTCTGTCATTAAGCGGCGATTTAGCATTAGCGGTTGATAATGTCAGCTATTAATGCAATAATTTATGGCATTAAGCGTTGCAATTGCTACGCTTAATGCTATTTGTATCATTAAGCGGCGTTTTATCATTAGAGGTTGCTACACAGCGGACTTCTATGAGTAAATAATTTAATTTATTGTATGATTGAATAATTTCCATCTCTCTGATTGGCTGAGATCCAACTATGTTAGAAAAGTACCACGTTGTATTGACCTGCACGTGACGTTCCAGGTGAATACAAGGATTTATTTCCTCTACATTGATCTAAAAATAGATCGGGAAATTCCAAATTGATGCAGATTGCTTTAGGAAGCTATTTAAACGACTATATGCCTTATTTTTTTTTATGTGAACAAAACATTAGCAAATATATATTTTCGGATGAGGGTGGTAAGTGGGGATGCAGGGGACCCCCCCCCCCCTCCAACACTTTTACTGAACAATTTTTTTTTTACTTTTTGGAAGTCAGTTTTCCCTGATAATACTCCTTCCTTTCAAAATCTATCCTATAAAAAAGACTGACATTATATATTTTTTCATGGCAACTAAAATTGATGAAAAACATTTCAAATTGATACAACTAGTAAGGTTTGTTTACATTTTAATTCTGCTTCTCTCTTGTATTTGGCAAGGACTTAATTAAATGCAAACAAGTAATGAGCTGTATCATTTCATCATTGAATCATATAATAAAACAATTATTGCTCTTTTTTTCGGTCAATACAATGATTTAGCCATCTTCGAAGTACAATATTCACCTCGCCCTTCGGGTACTCCTCAGATGGCTAAATCATTGTATTGACCTCAAAAACAGCAATAATTGTATAATATTTACATTTGCAAATGTTTTCCTTTATATAACACTACTTAGAGCAAGCGTATTTATAAATGTATAAATACAGGTACGGGGTCAAGAGGTCATAGATGTGCGTATGGATAAACGTTCGACGTAATTTCTCAGTGACGTCATAAAGGGTCGACGCGCGTTCAGTGGATTACATACATGCCGTTGGGTTTGAAAAATAATGCATTTCACACGTTAAAAGTCACAATCAGGCAAATTTAAATTATGAATAAGTCACAAATGTAAATATAAGTAATGAGGTATCATTTTTTGAGTGTTATTGGGATGTAAAACGGGTTGGCACATGATCAAATCTTCGGGCTTTATGGGATTTGATCACGTGACCAACCCGTTTTACATCCCAATAACACTCAAAAAATGATACCTTATTTCTTAATTAAGTTATAACACGGCATTTGATTGAATAAAAAATGAGTTTATATCGTATAACATAAGTTGCCTGCGTCACAATGAGTTACGTCAAAAACTATTACTCCGCTTGATGTTACTTTAAAATATGCTCAATTTGAAGCCATTTTTGGAGGAAAAAATGTTTTATTGTCTTAAACTTTTTTTTTAACCTCTGCATTACGATATAACATAACTTGGGAGAGTTTATAAAGCGTAAACTATCCCAAGATCACTGAATAAAATAAACTTCATTCCTTAATTAATTCAATGAATAACAAACTGTTGGTCCGATATAAGGCTGTTATATTTAGAGTATTTACCCTAAGGTCTTATAAACTTTTCCTCCTTTTTCTTTGGGCATTTGTATCATATAGAACCAATGACATCGTCGTTTCTGTGGTGGTATATTTATGCCATCCACGTAATTTTTGTCAACATATCATATCGTGTCAAGTCAAGATAACTATCTCGTAAAGTGATGATAACTTTGAGGTTTGTCGTCAAACACCGACTTTTATCTTGTACAGTCAAGATAAGCTTTCGTATTTTTGCGATAGATATCTCGACAAAAAGAGATAATTCATCTTGTATCGTGACTTAAAGCTTTCTCGTCATGTCAAGATACATCTAGCTATTGAAACAAAATGTGATAGCTTATCTTGACTGGACAAGATATAAAGTCGATGTTTGTCGACAAACCAGAAAGTAATCATCACCTGACGAGATAGCTCTCTTGACTTTACATGATATTCTATGAGTATGTTGACGAAAAATTATATGGATGGTATAAATATGCCACCATAGATTACTAGTTTATAAGAAGTCAATTTCTTTATCATTTGCTTTTTTCAGGTTGCCCCCCTTCTCGGTGATGTCATCAATTCAGTTGAGATTGATTCATCTTATGACGAAGACATCCAGTGCATTGAAGAAGCCGTGGCATGTACAATTGTAGGTTAAACAGTAACTAATCTCAGATGACATAATACAGTAACCAGTATATCTAATTGTTTTCTTGAATTTGCAAAAGATAGGTCATATTTTGATGTCCTTTGGGTATATCAAATATGAACTTTTCTATCATAAAATTTCATGATTACCCCGTAAGTTTTTTTTTTATTTTTTCTTATTTACGCGTTAAAGTTTCTTATGAAAAAATCTGAGGTCTTAAACTTTTTGAATATGGAAATATTGATTTTTTTTTAATTTAGAGCAAAGTAAATCAAAAACCATCTGTTGGTGCTATGGACAACTCACCTTTGAATGACACTCTTCCAAACGTTACATTTCTGTCAAAGAAAGAGGAACAATTGTGGAGGAAAGAGAGAATTAGAAAAGACAATCATAATATTAGTATGTTGAACCTTATATGTGCTAGGAAACTAATTATCTAAATATTTCATTTTACCTGTATAAGTAGCCTAAAAATGATGAAAATATTATTTAATGTGTTTATTTCAACTGCATTTGCTAATTCCAAATACATTTATGATCTCGTTTTAATGTCTTTTAACAGTCGAAAGAAGGCGAAGATATAACATTAATGACAGAATTCAAGAACTGGCCGCACTTTTACCACCAACTGTTCATCCGTGAGTATTTTCTAAGTCGTTCAGTAAAACTCTTACTTAAGAAATAAATAACAAATTTATAAACTTCAATGGGAATTGAAGTGGGTCGGTCACGTGATCAAATCCTGTGAAGGCCGAAGGCCTTCTCAGAAGATTTGATCACGTACCGACCCACTTCAATTCCCATTGAAGTTTATAAACTTGTTATTTATTACTTATATATACATTTGAGACAGACAATTGAATAAATTCGATTTTAAATTATTGCACTAACCGTCCGTCGTAGATTTTGAAAAATGAGGCGAGGCGTAAATCGGCTTGTATGGCGGTTATGCTTCGAATTTAATAGGCTAAGGAATCTATTTCGAAGGGAATATTCTGTGAAAGGCTACTTGTGATCAATAATAGTAAACAGATTGTTGTCTGGGAATATTTTTATTCGTGAAAATTGATAATCGATGCTGAAAAGACACAAGAAACACGTCCGAAGTTTGTTGATAAAAAGTTGGAGGAACTTCGGTCGCCGGAAAGGGATGGGTGGTTCCGATGGATTGAGACACTTGTCCGACCAAGTTAATTTGCAGTTTGATCAAAAACATTCTACGATTTCAGTAACTAAAGGCATACTTACCGTAAAACACTGATAAACACGGAGACACTGGCGACAGCTTTACATTGAACTACGAAAACGCCGAGGTGTTTGGCAGCTGTTCATGGCATGGTTGCAATGATATTTTCCAACAGATTTACACATTTATCGTGAGTAGAATTTAAAGATAAAATAATAGTTTATCATGAAAATTTAACCAAAGGTTTACCCAAAAAATAAGGATGAACGTTGGAGACTGTGCAGCTGACAAAAGTGAAGAAAAATGTAAACAAACGCTAGCCTAGTTTGTCTATGTACACAGGTTTAATCGATAGCCAAAAAACTGTGTGAAATACTTGTTTACATTGTAAATAAAATGATTATCATTTTACTTGCTTATTTTGTTCATTTTTATACATGAAAAGCAAGTAGAGCAGGTCATTTTATAATTTATGTACCGGTAGATATTATTGCGCCGTGTGATTAGGTCACGTATTGACCTCTGACCTCTGACAAACTTCATACAGAATTGAAGATATTTTCTCTCTGTATGTTTATATAATGGAGAGATACCACAAATGTATATATAAAGTAATGAGGTATACCAAATATTTGTAGCTTAACCGTGTAAATTGTTCACTTTTAACATTCATCGTATTACATTTGATTAATTTTTTTTCCATCTTTCTGACGTACGTTGCTGAATCTAAACTTTATGAACTGCAGGAATTGTTCTTAATATATAAAGAAATCAAAGTAAGAAATATTAATCTGATCTAGTCATTGACTGTACTTTATCTTTGCTTTCATTTTCAGATCAATGAAGTTGCATAAAGGTTCAATTCTGAAAGCATCAGTTGAATATATAAGGGAACTGAAAAAAGACACATCTAGGCTTATTTCATTTGAATCCAAACGCAAAACAATGGAGACAAAGTACCAGAAAATGATGATAAAACTCTTTGTAAGTACTTTCAGATATGAATGATGGCAATCCAACCTTTTGAATACATTTTTAAGTGCAAGGTAAATAATTTTATTCTAATTTTAAAAAGTCTTATAGAATTTATATAGTTAGACTTTCAAATTAACTGCTCACTTTAAGTTACATACCAGAACTTAATATCTTCTTTATGGCAGATAGAGAATAAACTGGCAATCAATCTTTAATATTTTGAAAGCTAAGAGGCCAGTATTCAGGTTAAAATGTAAAAAGAATATAGGCACCGCAAAGCGGAGCACCCCCCGCAAAAGAGCATATATATGAACCAAGGTAGCATTCTGCATCGATCCCAATGGAAATTACGACACTTCCTTTACACATACCAGGAAAAACTAACCCACTCACCAACAGATACAAACGCGTTACTAGATCTCCGACCACTCCGTTACGAAGGGGTTAAATGATACTAAGAGTTTTAACTAACTTTTACATTATGCGTGTGGTATTTGAGATACCGATGTTCGAAATACCAGATTCAATTGTATAGCTATATTATTCAGAAAAGGGAGAACTTCAAGTAGGATACGAGAAGTGGACAAGACATTAGATTAGGTCACTAAATTTATTATACAAAATAGTAGATTTAATACTTACGCATTCATAGATATGCATAGAGATGCTGGTTTTGTTCATGTCTAGGAGAAATTCATTTCTTATGATGCCTCTTTTTTAATTAAAACAGTCATATTTTATCTATCTATTTCAGCAACTAGAACTGGAAATAAAACTTTTCGAATTAAACGAGGAAACACATATTCAACAGAACACAAAGAAAAGACCCAAAAGAAATCACCCTGAATTTGATGCAATGGTGGAAGGTATGATGAAGAACACATTGCAACAATCAAAGTCCCCAGAAAAATTATCACGTTTATCATTTGATAAACTTGCAGCGTCAAACAGTGAAAGCGAGGGTAAAAAGACGGTGCCACCTCCAAAAAAGATTTCGAGAAATCCTATCAAAACAAGATTTTCAAAGAACAGCAATAAAAGTAACAGCTCCACTCTACCAAGTGGCAGAGCAACGAAGCTGCAAATGAAATCCCCAAAAAGGTCCTCTAGCCTTACGTGTGAAGAATATATTGTCATTGATGAGAAAAACTATCCTGAAAATCAGCAACTTGAATATCATGGAGAACAACTTGAAATGGTTTATATGATTCCCAAACAAACAGACACGTTATCAAACGAACAAGAAGATTTTTCAAAGCATCATCTTTCATCCACGTCCGAATTAGACTCTGAACAATGCAATCTCCTGCTTGATTTATTTGGCTCAGGTCATGTGTCCTTATTTCAATCCGAGACGCAGCCATGTTCCACCGTGTCTTCCGTCTCTTCAATCGTTCAGTCAGAAGAGGACTTCTCGTCTCCTATCTTGTCGCCTGTCACCCAGACGACAAACATGTTTGAGGGATTGCTTAGACCATGTGACAGAACCTCCTCATCTTCAGAGTCACATTCTTTGGAAAGTTCTATCGAGAGTTCAGGGACACATTAAAGATTTTAATATAAAATGCACTAATATTTTCAATTTAGAGAATCTTTAAATCCGATGCATCAAAGAAAATTTAATTAATTATTGAAATTATAAGATAAATTATTGTATGAAAATTGATTTGAATTCAAATAGAATGTCTCAATATCGATGAAGACAAAAACCATTGTGAATATATCAAATTATGTTTTATGAACATTGTCAGAAACATTTTAAGAATATGAATTCATTCATGCCACAGACTTTTAAATTTCAAAATTTCTGGTCTGTCGATAGTATATGCATATCTTTTGAATCATTAAACTTTACAAGTGTCCAGTTTCTGGCACTACTATAACTTCATACAATAATTCTTCTGCTAACAATGTATACCTAAATTGGAGAGAGAGAGAGAGAGAGAGAGAGATTGTTTCATTTTGTCATTTTTAGCACTGCCGATTTTATACTGTATGTTGTACACTGCCAGAGAGATATTTTATGCAAAAGAAACTTATGTAAATCATACGCTATTGCATAGTTTAATTTGCTTGTATTAAACCACAAAATTCAGCATGTTTTTTTTTATTTTTTACTAAAAATGTGTTGTTGAAATACTAGTTATAAAATAAATAAACATACTAGTATTTTTACTGTCAAATGTGAGGTACTTTCTAGTCGGACATGCTTTTGTATTGAATGAAACTTTTTTTTACCTCAATTATGGACACCAAAGTTTACTTATGAAAATGGGAAGAGGGGAAAATTATCTCATAAGACAAAGAAAAAACACAGTCGAGATCAGGACAAAAAATTGAGGATTAAATACTTAAGAGGAAGTATTATCCATTTTCTACTCAGCAGTATCATAAAGTCAAATGCTGAGTCTTTTTCATACTAATTGTTAGGCCATTGAATACACACTGAATTGTCAATTTATCTAATTGAAAAATATGGAGATAACGAACCGTATTTCAGCTTAAATGTCCATTCAAACTATTATATACAAATCAAGAGTTACTGTAGAGGAAATTGGGACCAAATAAACATCAGTTTTGTGATCAGGTGCAGTAAAGGATTGACCATCTCCGTCAACTCCATGTCATCCTTAATGTTTAATGTCATGTCTTCTTAAATAAGATAAAGTCATTATTTCTACATACGATTTACAAACAAAGTAGCTCAACAGAATCTTTGATGAAAATCTTGTCTTCGAATAATACCTTTGTGAAAAATCATAAGAGTTTAAAAATGAAATTTTGCAAATGACTAAATACAAGACTAGTATTTAAGTATTTCTGAGTTCCATTTTTATTCAAAATACAGTTATCTATGATGCCATAAACCCTGGGTTTTAAGTTATCACAAGATGTTGTGTGAAAATGTTTAGTATTTTAAGGAATAGAACTAAGATTTCATTTTTTTCAAATTTCTGTGGAGTTTTTGAAAATCCACATTATATCATTTTCTGAATATGTTACATCCCAGTTGGTCTAAAGAATCTCTCTCACATCAGTTACGTCCTATATCGTGAGCCAACTACTGTATCGTTGGTGATTCTTCAGTTTAAAATCCATGCGTGACTCCTTATTTTTGCCAAGAGGCAACATTATACATGTATTTTAATATACTGGTGAATAAATGGGTTCGCGAAGAAGAATATTTGTGAGTAAAAGAAGGTCGAAAACTCGCAGATATTTCTAGCTCACGAATAGAAATAGGTTTATAGCACTCTAGAGAAAAGGGGGCCTGGGAAACTGTTTACTACCTGAAAAGTGTTTGTTTATAAGGCCAAAATCCGATATGAACTCGATATGAATATTCACATAAAAGTATAAATTGCTTAAATTTGAGAAATTTGAGAGAGAATGGTACCCATACCTATATTACAAGCATGCTCTATGTAGAGAACTGGTTGTCTTTTAAATAGGGTGTATTTATATATATATATATATATATATATATATATATATATATATATATATATATATATATATATATATATTTTCAATTTAGCAATAGACTGAACCAATAACATTGAAAACTATGAAATATAGGTATTTGCCGTATCCCTTCCCGTGTCAACAAAAGCTACGAAATATTAAAATTTTAAATTCATATTTTCCTTCAAAACATGTTCTTTGAATACAATAGAAATTCTATAATAAAATTTATACCAGTTGAACTTGAACCTGATACATATGTATTTGATATTTATGGCTTAAAAAATTAATGTATCTTTTCAATGAAAATGTTCGGCACTGAACTTCAAATAGTTTGATGTTAATAAAAATTTGCATCAGATTCTCATAATTTATCTTAAGGCATGAGTTTTCGATAGACTGTAATTTTTCTAATTTATGGTGAACTATTAAGAAAAACAGATTTGCATGCCATATTTTTTTCATGAGTCTTCTTTTCAATTTGTATTCAAAGTTGATAATAACTCGGAAAATTTGGGTATTCAAACTGTGACAAAAATTTTTTTGAGAACTTTTCGAATTCCAACGGTGGTTTATTTAGAACAATTGTATTTTTTGATGATTTTAAAACACCATAAAATTCTTTACGAACAAAGATACATAGCAAATCCAGTTAATGTTCTACGAAACCTCTTTATTTATTCCTCACTAAAAGATTCACAACAATGAAGGAGAAACTTCAGGAGTACTGCACAACAGTACAATCTCGAGAAGTGGTGTACATTAGACGTGGATACTTAAAAACTCCAAGGATATTTTGAAGTCTAAAAATCTCTGTAAAAAAACAATAACATCAAAAGTACGACTTTTCAACACTTTATACATGCAACCATTCCCATTATATATTAAATTCCAGGCTTCTTGACACCATAAAGAACTGTTTTTAAATAAAAATGAAACTATATAAACTTATGTAAATATACGTACCTTGTCATTGATCATTTGCACATTCATTTTGTTAGACATACTTTGATGGTATACTGCATGTTATATACTGCCAGAGAGATATTTTATGAAAAGAAACTTAATATGTAAATCATACGCCATTGCATAGTTTAATTTGCTTGTATTAAACCACAAAATTTAGCATGTATTTTTTTTATTTTATTATAATAGCTAAAAATGTTTTGTTGAAATACTAGTTATAAAATAAATAAACATACTAGTATTTTTACCGTCAAATGTGAGCTACTTTCTAGTAGGACATGCTTTTGTATTGAATGAAACCTTTTTTTACCTCAATCATGGACACCAAATTTTACTTATGAAAATGGGAAGAGGGAAAAATTATCTCATAAGACAAAGAAAAACACAAAATCGAGATCAGGACAAAAAAAGAGGATTAAATACTTAAGAGGAACTATTATCCATGGTCTACTCATCAGTACCATAAAGTCAAATGCTGACTGTCTTTTTCATACTAATTGTTAGGCCATTGAATACACTCTAAATTGTCAATTTATCTAATTGAAAAATATGGAGATAACGAACCGTATTTCAGCTCAAATGCCCATTCAAACTACTATATTATTATATACAAATCAAGAGTTACTGTAGAGGAAATTGGGACCAAATAAACATCAGTTTTGTGATCAGGTGCAGTGAAGGATTGACCATCTCCGTGAACTCCTTGTCATCCTTAATGTTTAATGTCATGTCTTCTTAAATATGATAAAGTCATTATTTCTACATACGATTTACAAACAAAGTCGCTCAACAGAATCTTTGATGAAAATCTTGTCTTCGAACAATACCTTTGTGAAAAATCACAAGAGTTTAAAAATGAAATTTTGCAAATGACTAAATACAAGACTAGTATATAAGTATTTCTGAGTTCCATTTTTATTCAAAATACAGTTATCTATGATGCCATAAACCCTGGGTTTTAAGTTATCACAAGATGTTGTGTGAAAATGTTTAGTATTTTAAGGAATAGAACTAAGATTTCATTTTTTTCAATACTCTGTGGAGTTTTTGAAAATCCACATTTATCATTTTCTGAATATGTAACATCCCAGTTGGTCTAAAGAATCTTTCCCACGTCAGTTACATCCTATATCATGAGCCAACTACTGTATCGTTGGTGATTCTTCAGTTTAAAATCCATGTGTGACTCATTATTTTTGCCAAGAGGCAACATTAAACATGTAATTTAATATACTGGTGAATAAATGGGTTCGCGAAGAAGAATATTTGCGAGTAAAAGAAGGTCGAAAAACTCGCAGATATTTCTAGCTCACGAATAAAAATTGGTTTATAGTACTCTAGATCTTACAAAGAGAAAAAAGGGGACTTAGGAAACTGTTTACTAGACCTTGTAACGTGTTTGTTTATAAGGCCAAAATCCGATATGAACTCGATATAAATATTTACATAAAAGTATAAAACTTGCTTAAATTTGAGAGAGAACACTTATACAAGCATGCTCTATATAGAAAATTTGGTTGTCTACACTTTTAAAGAGGATGTATTTTTACACATTATCAAATTAGCAATAGACTGAACCAATAACATTGAAAATTATATCACGGTGTGAATTTTGATAAAACGTTTTTAGTAACATGTTTAAGCTGACTTTTAAATATACTTTTAATTTACTGTAATTACTTTAAACATCATGAAAAACTTTAATTATGCTAATTACTATGTAACTCCAAATGTGGAAATTAATTATTCAATCAATATACTCAACATGTCATGAGTTATTCAATCTAAGCCATCTGTCACTCATTCTCAGAATTGTGCTAATTGCCATTGTTATATTTTATTATTTATATGTTACATGAATCATTGTTAATCAATTAACTCCTAGGCTTCGGATTCTTCGTGTGCAATTTTTGGATTTCCAGAATTCACCCTACCGACTTAAGTTTATAATAAAGTGCTATTCCATCGTCAGCATTTTTATGTTTTATTGTTGCCGGAAAGTTTGACACTTATATTATTTCCCCGGTGATAATTTGGTGGAGATATAAGGGTATATATATATTTTGTAGCAGTTTGATCCTGAGTACCATCAACCGAGTTCCCGACCTATCTTCAACAACACCATGCCAACCTGGAGAAAATATTAAACTTTACCGCTCCTTCCCAACATCTAACCAGCGCCATTGTCTTTTCCTTGGATCACACCAGGACCAGTGAATTTTTGACACCAGGATCCATTCCACGGTGCTATAGGTGCGGGAAACCCCTCTTCCACGGCCACCTTTATACGTGTCCAGCTACACGTTCCGAGTGTTTCGTAACGGAAAACATTTATGCGCAAGCATGTTGAATCTTACCGTTCCTCCCAAAGGAAATCATTTCCATGTCCATCGATACTCAACGATCAAAAAGGATCAAGCCAAGGGGTCAGGACAAGCCTGCTTGAAAAAATGGGAAATGTAGGATCTTTTCAATGAAAGATTCTACTGCAGGTGTGTGCTCGGACTGCCACCAAATCTAGTCAAATGAGTGTTGCTGTTAATAAAAATTTGTCAGCAGACTAAGTCCGTAAGCAAACGGCGCAGGGATTCAAGAAGAATTAAGGACTATTACGATAGATTGCAGTTAGTGAAATCTTTGCCATTCCAAGAGCTAAGTTCCGAAGACATTTGCAATTTATTTAATTCAACTGGCCATTCCATCCAACTGACTGCAATAGAAAATAAAAACAAGACCTTAACGACAAAGATTAGTGAACTAACGAGGAGATGTGAAAATCTGCAAGCAGTGACATCCGCTCTTCATAATCGCATTTCAAAATTGCAAAGCAGCCAAAATGAAACAAACAACGAACGAAGACCAATCAACCCAACCAAACGTGTTATCAAGCAACATCAGTTCCTACCGCTTCCAACACCGACCATCCCTTACTGGAACCGACAACCAAGTGCTCTGCATTTCAGTTCCCGATGATTCCTGAGACAAGGACGTCTCATTTTCCGAAGCGAGAGGGAATTATCACGGTGTGAATTTTGATAAAACATTTTTAGTAACATGTTTAAGCTGACTTTTATATATACTATTAATTTACTGTAATCACTTTAAACATCATGAAAAACTTTAATTATGCTAATTACTATGTAACTCCAAATGTAGAAATTAATTATTCAATCAATATACTCAACATGTCATGAGTTATTCCATCTAAGCCATCTGTCACTCATGCTCAGAATTGTGTTAATTGCCATTGTTATATTTTATTATTTATATGTTACATGAATCATTGTTAATCAGTTAACTCCTAGGCTTCGGATTCTTCGTGTGCAATTTTTGGATTTCCAGAATTCACCCTACCGACTTAAGTTTATAATATATCATCGTTAGCATTTTTATGTTTTATTGTTGCCGGAAAGTTTGACACTTATTTTCCCCGGTGATAATTATATAATATCGTTCTTCGCCGTATCCCTTCCCGTGTCAACAAAAGCTACGAAATATTAAAATTTCTCAATTCATATTTTCTTTCAAAACGTGTTCTTTGAATCTAAACAATAATATAGACATTCTGTAACAAAATTTATTCCAGTTGAACTTGAACCTGATACATATATGTATTCTATATTCATGGCTTAAAAAATTAATGTATCTTTTCAATGAAAGTATTCGGCACTGAACTTAAATCAGTTTGATGTTAATAAAAATTTGCATCAGATTCTCATAATTTATCTTCAGGCATGAGTGTTCGATAGACTTTGAATTTTTTTTAATTATGGTGATCTATTAAGAAACTTTGAATGTACACGTACTATTAATTGATATTAAAGAGATGCTTGATTATCTAATTTACAATTTCCATGTGGTTTTCGGAGACCAGGTCTTCGAAAATTCTATTGGAATTCCTATTGCAAACACTTGCGCTCCGTTTTTAGTAGACTTTTGTTTGTATTCGTATGAAGCAAAATGCACTTAAAACCTTCCACAAGAGAAAAAAAGAAACACTTGCTCTGGCCTTATACCGACATTTAGATATATATCGACGACTAAATATCAATAAACAAGTTACTTCCATTTATATGTCGACTCGATTTATCCTTGTGATTTTGAAATAAAAGATACCACAGAGGTACATAAATATTTTTCATATTAAGAAAATTTAATAGAAAAAGACGTTAATAGTAATCGCAAACTGTCCTTATTTATGTAGCATAAACCTTTATCACCTATATATGGGGTTTATGCCTCTCTCAGTTGATTCCATACGCAAGAGCATGTTCTACGTACGAACAATTTCTAAAATGGCGCATTTAGTATTGACAACAAGATGTTGAAACAAGGATATCAACAGTCTCATTTGACGTCATTCTTTTGCAGCTTATTTCAGTCGATACAATGACATTGTTTTATTCAGTCATTACATTTTATATGCTGACTGACGTTTTTCGTACTAATTGCATTGTTGGGCCATTATTTACTTACTTACTGAATTGTCTACAGTTTATTTCGATTTTCCTGATCATGACAAAAAGTACAAGACGGTTGTGACCGGTTAGACAGCGTATGCTTACTCCTCTATGGCATCTGGTCCCACCCCTGATGATTTTGGAGGTCCATATTTAATCTACTGTCGATTCGTTTTGTTTAAATGAATATACGGGCATCAATACTGTTCGATGTTCCAACATTTTATTCATTATATATTACTATTTTTAAAGACACTTCATATGTAAATGATGACAAATTTTGATTTATGAATAAAATTTAAAAAAAAATGCATACATGTGATTGAATTGCCGTTTTCCGATGACTTTGTTCATCAATAATTCTTTGACAAATATATCATATAAAATTTTATCGTAGAGAATACACTAATATTTTAAATTTAATATGCTAATTTTATCAACCCTCTGGGTCTAATTTCTTTCCAGTTCTTTCTTCCCCTTTTATTGTGCAGTGTGTTTTATTTTTCTTGACTTGAACGAAAAGTACATGTGCAAATGTCATACCACTTGAATTTTCACCAATTCACCGTTTTCATACTTTGTAGAAAAGAATGAAGTAAATCATTTAATATGTTTTCCTTTTCACGTCAGATCTGAAGAGGGTTACTGACCATAAGTTTTTATTAAACTAACTTATAAAAGTTTGATGAGACAAATACAGGAAGTAGAAGTCCGGCAGGAGAAGTATTTTTATTTATTGATAAATCGCTTAAAGATTGAATAAACTGCTCGATATCAATGAACAGGATAAAGGTATTATTCATCCAGCAAAATCTTGCTTTTTTAAGGTAAAGTCATAATACTTGCAGAAAAAAAATCTTAGACCTTGCTCTATGAATTATGCTCACGAAAATAAGACATTAAATCTACAATGATTGATAATGTATAATTGAATAATCCGGCATCATCTAGATACCAGCTTTACTGCATAAAGATCATATAAATAATTTGCCCTAGTGTGTCACTGACATACAAATTGTTGGATATTTAAGGACATTAGTTTTAGTAATCTGAATTGCAAAAAACCTGAAAAATTCCTTTTACTAATCTTGATTTTGACATTTTGTTTAATTTGCATATTTTTGTTGTGTCGCGCTTTTAAATAGTATTTACCACCAATTTCCATTCAAAATAGCAATAACAATTGACTATTGACAGTTATTCCGTCTCGAGTCAATTAATGTCCTAGATACGATCAGAGAGTAGAAATTCTTATCACTCCTGAGACCACACATTATATAACATAATATACGTACAGAGGTATGTTTTTATTACCTAATCAATTTGAATGACAATGTGGAATATAAGTCTGTACCACTGTGTCGTGTTTCTTTCATGTCTGGGTAAGTGCACCTCAAGGCAAAAGAATTTTTATTCATATTACCGAGAACCAATTTGTGTTTTAATATTTACGTTATCTATCAAATATGTGACATATAATTGTGTCATTTGCACATATATTGGTGGAAAATGTTAATATAATTATATGTTTAATCCCACTTTCGGCTTAAATGCTGCTCATAAATTGGTTCGAATATAGTTACAATTGATGCAACAACTATCTCAAATTTTAATGTACCATATATCCGAAAAGTTTTATGTTCATTTTTGACGAATCAGACTCTCCCATTAGAAACTGTGACAGCACAATTAACTGTCTTTTAACATTAATTTGATTATAAAAACGAAAAAGAGACCACGGGCCACAACGCTCACCTGCAACACTTATACATTACCGGTCTTTGTATGATATTTAAAATATACATATGCCTCTCTTTTAAAAAGTTATGTCATAGCCCCCCCCCCCCCTCCCAGCCCCCCCCCCCCCATGATTTATCAATTTTATGGAGTTGATTTGATATCTTAATGTTTTCTACTTAAGGGGGGACCTATGTCGTTCTACGTCAAGGCAGCGTTATGTGACGTCACAATAGCGACGTTTGTTTTTACCTGTTGACTTTTGCAACTGTGATATAGGCATGCCATTGCTGATAATCAATTACGTACAAAATTTACAAAAAGGAAAATTGATTCATCATTAATCACAGTTTTATTTGATTTATGGAGTTTGTTAATATTAGAATTCTCTTCCTTTGGTTGATAATTCATAGCAATTTCTGTTGTGAAAAAATACCCCGATAATATGCTGATATAATAGTGCAAAAAAGAGATAAAATTCAGGAAAGAAAGCGGCTTAACTCAGGGGAAAATGTTTAATTTTATAATTACCATTAATCGATTTTCTGGAGAAAACTAAGAAAAAATTAAGAAATGTACTTGTACGGGTGTATATTTGCTTATTGATTTATATAGCACATGTGGATTTTATTGTATAAAGTCATTCCTAGGTTCTAATAGGCATTGGTTGTTGACGCGGAAATTGGGGAGGGGGGGGGGGGAGAGAAACAGAATGAATGGAATGAAGAAAAAAAATTATCTATTTAAATTGTTTCTAATCAAAACAAAATACTCGTTTTCCGCAAAATAGTATTATATTCAGGTGTTTGTCAGTGCTTACTTACCCTTTTTTAGTGCAGAAAGGTCAATATTTATGACACAAGAGTACAAAAATATCAAAGAAACGTCATATTTCTCGTTTATTTTATCATAAAGGTATACTTTTTTCTTTGTTGAAATAAAGAGATGAATCATTTCTTTCAAAAAATATGAATTACAAAATTTTCACACAAAGACTTTTTAAGATATTACCTGTTATGCATGTCGGAATTGTAAAAAATACGACAAGAAAAATGGGGTAATACTTATATTGTGCTCCATTATAATTTTTCATGCGAGATGGATTTCAATTAATTTGCCTCCATTTTAAAGATACAACTCATATAAATTAAATAAGTGTTGATTTTGAATATGATTTAAAATTTTTGGTTCTTTATGGCGCGTATTTTGGGTAGAACAGTTATGACTGAAAATAATCTATTTTTAGCATTTCCCACTGTTTTTGCACGTGCTCCTGTGTAAAAATAAGCATATAAAGGTATTGTTTTTAATAGCCATTCTCTGTAACCACTTAAACTTCGTTGCCACGCATGGTCACCGATTTTGATGAAACTTCACCCATGCTTAGTACCTGACACAAGAAACAAATGTCAAACAAAATTTCGTTGCTATGTGTCTCGGTTGCTATGGCAACAGCCGGAAAAGTTTGAAAAAACGAGATTTTCAGCCACTTTAAATCTTGACTGTGGCTTAATAAAAACTAGAAAAAGCAAACAAACCATTCTCACAAAAATAAGACACCTTGATGTCACTTATACTGTAAAGAAACTGTTTAGAATATATGTCTAAGTAAGTGGTAACCAAGGTTACATTTGGAATACATTTAAAATGCTGAAATATGCTGAAAAACACCCCGTATTCACTAATGGTAGGTGTTACATGCTCAAACTCAATCAACGACTTAAGAAAAACAATGAAAATGTTTGACCTTAAGTATATAAGTATAAGCAATATTATTCTATAAATAACTTTTATGGTTGCCATGGTAACACAGTGTAACCATGCAAAACCAGTGACTAAGATTCGGTTAATGCTACTGTCTTGAGGAAAAACATGAAAATTCAAGACTGGAAAACATGCATCATTAGGACCTTGCAACACCAAAACCATAAGAAAAATTGGGTATAATTGCTACTTTGCAGTGTTACCATGGAAACAAAGTACCAATGCTTAAAAGTGAATTATTTTTCGCTGCATTAAGAATTAAATTGCCATTTAATCAAGAAACAAATTAAAGGACTCAGCTTGAATAGTACTTATGTGTTAGAACTGAAGCTTAATATCATATATTGATAAAATTCGATGAAGAAAACAACACTGTTGCTATGGTTACCAAGAAGGGAAAATGTTCGATTTTGTGAACTTTATATCAATATTAAACCCTGTGTGCCAACTTCTTGCATCCACTTAGAGATTGGACGATGGTCAAAATTAAAAGTCAGGTTAGCTGTTAATAAATATCAATCATAAAAGTTTTGGGAATCTACATTAAAGGGTACGTATCCAAGGAAAGAAAATATTTTTCAGGTTTTTAAGCATATATTTTCTTTCCATAGCAACGCTCTATTTATAGAATCTAATCTGAATTTTTTCAAATGGGAAAACTAGGAGCACACCAACATCTTTAAAAATTGATCATTAATTATGAGGAAATGTGCTTTTTTAAAAGATAGGGTCAGATTTAAACATACAGAGTGTAACTTTGAAGGCTCTCTGTGGTATAAAAACCTTGGCAACCATTGCCAATCAAAATGAAATATCATATTTTGTTAATGCTATATGTTTCAATGCTCTTTTTTCTATTATTGGGTCACATTTCATCCTATAATTGCTTTTTATTTTTACCTGTATGACTTTATAAAATTCAATGAATATTTTTCTTTACTTTTGAATACTTTGTTACCATAGGAACGTATGTAATAGTTGATTTACCAAACATGTTTATCATGCATTTCAGACATCTGACCTTCAACTTTTGGAAACAGTCATTGCCAATTGTTTGCTTTGCCGCAAATGTTTACGATGGGGCTCTAAACATGTTAAAAAATGCCATTTTTCGAACTTTAAGACATGTTGCCATGGTAACTATAAAACATAGCAACCAATTTTTGCCTGATTTCAGTTTAGGGTATCAATGACTTTTATCATAGAGAGTTTGGAGAAATTCTGAGACTATGCGTGCCACAGCTCCTATATGAAATTTCAAGTCGTTACAGAGAATGGCTCTTAATACCTAAAAATTAAGAGCAAGTGGTCAGGAAAGAAATGTCAAAGTTTTGAAAATTTCACACAAAGACTTTTCGGACATAGGTCCCCCCTTAAACAAAAATTTGCTGTTTTGGATTACTGAGATAACAAACAACAATCCATCCAATCAATTTTTAAAAAACACGATTCGTTAACAGGGTAAAAAACGAATCCCTGGTATCACCAGACGGACAAGTGACTAGGAGGAGTAATCATGTCTTATCGACAGACCACACCCACCGAGCTTTCTGTGTTATTAGATAAACGGAGATATATATAGACATGATTAAAAGAAAACAATGGTCCAAGAAATGGTGTTGAAAATGTCACTTAAATTAACGATTAATTGTTCATTTATAAGTTAACAAGGTCATAATAACGACTGTAGACTGAAAAATATAGAAGACCCTTGAGAGCCATATACTATCAAGTTATCTGTCAGTAGCTTGCTTCGGTTAAAAATCCTACCCAACACATTCGATTACAAACAAAATTATTTTGGAGATATAAAACAATGTGCAGTTAAATATTGCCACATAACTAGAGGACTTTGACTAGAAAAAAATTGAATTGATACGGTTATTTAAAGCTCCTTTAAATTTTTATGTTAAAGGAATATTGATTTAGCTCACACGGCTATAAGCCCAATGTGAGTTTTCCTGATAATTTATTCACGCCAATTATATGTGTCTGTCTCTCTGCCAGTTCCTCCTTCTATAAACTTTTCACATTTTTGACTGATTTTCTAGAACTATTAGATCAGTTTCAATGAAACTTGCCTCCAACATCCTTTTTTAAATGCCATTAATAATTTTTGAAATACAGAAACGCATTTTTTGTTCATGGGGGATAATAGTTTCTTGACTCTATTTTAAAATTTTCTCAGGAATCATTGGGTTTGAAATTTTATATTTGTAATGAGAAAATCTTCATTAATAATAGTAAATTTTACTTTTTTTCAAAAATATTGCAGGTAGGATAAGATCACAATATTCAATGGCGTTCAAATTTTGACATAGGGATTCAAAAAATTAAATTCTTTTAATCGATAACATCGCCCATAGTTTCTACCGTGTTTGTTGTAGGTGAAATGAAGTTGCATAATTTTTTTGCTAAAATTGGTGTGTTAAATATAATCATTTTTATTTTGTAATAATTTTTCCTTACTGTATGAAATTTCATTCACGTTTCAGTGGTTAAATCACAAAATTTATTTCTCAGTGCAATACAAGTTGATCAGAATTAAATGTTTTTGTTACAAAATTTGTTCTTTATTTGCTTTTCTTTTAGGTCTATATCAGTCATGTTGTCCGGAAGGCTGGGTAAAGGGAAGGAACTCTTGCTACTATCCCAGTAGTGAAAGTGCCAGCTGGCTGGCAGCGTCGGTAAATCTCTCTCTCTCTTGTGCTCCCGTTTTTTTTTCTGCAAAAAAAGTAAATTATATTATTTTTCAGGCAAAATGTCGAGCCATGCAAAGTAACCTCGTGATAATTAACGACCATGATGAAAATCATTTTGTGACTGGTATGATTAAAGAGTATATTCGTAAGTATAAACATTAAGCTTTCTCTATTATAAGATAAATACGACAAATATTAAATACGTTTTATTCGGAGTAATGCATACATGTATTGTTTATTATTTTTTTTAATATAAATCACTTAGTACTGTTATTGTATGAGTATAATCTTATTTTTCAAATTTTAGATGTGATAATGTGCACTCTTAGGGGACACATATTTGTGTAACATAAGAGTTTGAATATTCGAATATTTTCACATCGAATGTCATTTATTTACAGACTTTAAACAATCGATTTTTTTCTGTGAAAAAAATATCAGCATACATTTTAAAGAACATGAATGGTTGAATCGGACTTTGTATTACTTTTATCTTTTAATAAGCCTGAAAAAATGAAATATTAATACACATAAAAGTATTAAAAAAACACACACACAGCCTAGTTGAAAGACATTTTACGTGGTAATATTTGTATAAAAGTAGTGGGGACTTACTGATATTTTTATATCAGAGGCATATATCCACAACTTCTGGCTTGATGGCACAGATGCTAATCATGAGGGACATTTTATATGGCACTCTACAAATCAGCCTCTTCATTACAATAACTGGAATGTACATGAACCGAGCGGAGGAAATGAAAACTGTATAGAAATGTTAGTCAAAGAATATGCCACTCCAAGCACAATTGGAAAGTGGAACGACAAAATATGCTCTAACCTTAATCACTTTGTATGTGAAAGAAGGTAGGTGATGGCGACTTTTTTCTAAGAAATATTGTTAAAGGATACCATAAATGAACTTTGAAATACAGTTGAACTTCAATTAATTGAATATAGCTGATATCTCGAATACAATGGATTTGTCGAAGTGTTTTGAAAGTTTCAACTACTTAGTCGTTAAACATTTTCGAACGATATATCAATTACCTGAATATATCTGAGTTTAATTTTAATCGGTCTGACCCAGTTTGAGATAACAAGGTTTGATTGTGCTTGAACCAGATACTTTTAAATAATAAGAAACATAATCTTTTTCTTTCAGCGTTGATGGTTCTTGATCATCTACGTCATTTGAGGTCATTTTGTAAAAAAAAAAATTAAATTAAATCATACCAGCACTTTTTATTGTTGTTCTATTCTGCAATTCCTTCTTTGTTTTCGTGAATGGAATGTGCGTTTTAAAATTATTTGAATGCCTCCTTGACTGTTTCTTCTGTTTTCAAAAGAAGCCCTTGGAAACCAGTTTGAAAAATATTCACGCACGGAGCTTATATGCGGTTATCATGTATAAACTTCATTCCAAACTTAAACAAAATACCACAAATGATATTAAAAAGCAATTCTTTTTATTCATTTAGTTTTTTGATCGATAGGTTTGATAAATTTTCATAAGACATGTAACAACATTGCCTTTTTTTGTAAGGTTCATTAATTGCATTGTATTTTAGAAAATGTGCAAGTGGTAATCCAACTTATACCACTAAATCCCTTTTTCTAATTAGCAAATTCCTCAAAGTTTTATGTCAGGTTTTAATATTTTATATATTCCCAACAACCAAAATGAAATTGAATTACCATACCTAACTGGATTTCAAAATTCCATAATAAAAATCCTTACAAACTAAGATATATAGCGGGTTCCAGTAAATGTTCTACCAAGAAGCCTCTTTCAACCCTCAATAAAATATTTACAGCGGTGAAGAAGAAACTTCAGAAGTATTGTACCAAATTATATTCGAGAAATGGTGTAAATTAATCCGATGTGGATGCTTAAAAAGTAGCTTTTAGAAAATGTGAAATCGCAAAATTTTCCCAAATCAATAACACGAAAACTTATGACTTTTCATCTCAATATACAACTATTACCCACGATAAATTAAAGTCCAGGGGCCCGTTTTACAAAAGAAGTTACGACTAAGACCAAAAACTTATGGTGATTGTAAAATTTTGCAAAATTAATAATTCTCTGAGAAATTGTTTGTGTAAAAAATATCTTACCATATTCCTTTTATAAGGTTTAAATTAATTTTCGATATAATGTTTACTAAAAAGTTATATGAAGAATTAATTTGGTCTTAAGTCGTAAGTCCTTTTGTAATATGGGTCCCTGGCTTTTCTACATTATAGACGGCTGCTTTATAAGAAAAATGGACCTCGTTAATATACGTACCTTTTTTTTTAAAAACTCTGATTGTACACACACGTACTTTAAAATTTATATTGAAAAGATACTTTCTGATTCTTTCTAATGGACGAAATCTATGTAGCTTTCGGAGTTCAGGTTTTCCAACAGTCTGTTAGAATTGGGTATGAATTGCGCCCCGTTGTAAGCAGACCTATTTTTATTCATATGAAGTTCATATGAAGCCCAATGTAATCAAAATCATCTACACGTCTAGATAAAGAAAACACTGTTTGCTGTGGCCCTCAACTTGACATATAGATACATCGATGACATAGTTACTTCAATTCATATGTCAATGTCGACTCGATATATCCCAAAGGCCTTGAAATAAATGAAGTACAATGTATTACACATCTGTTTCATATGAGAATAATTTTCTAGAAAAAAAAGGTAATTGTAACCTAACAATCAAATCTGATGCTCAGTCTGCCATGACACCTGATCCTACCTCAGATGTTTTAGACGTCCGTGTTTTCAATGTTCCGGAAATGCACTTTTAAGCCTGGCCTGAATACTATACCGTTTTCTCTGAATATAAACGTCATTGTCTTTGCATCTTTTGATTGTTTTGTTCATTTTGATTGTTCTTATGATCATATGACCGAAAGTTTCCAAATGGGTCTCAAATTCAGCAGACTCATTTTAAGCTTTGTCATTTGAAGAATTTTATTTTTTAATATCTGAATGAAAAACTCATTTTGTCATTTTAAAAGAGGAGTGTCTTATTTGTGTAATTATACAATTGTCTCAAGATGTAAAGATGAGTATAACACACAGAGAATATTTTTTTTAAAAAGATCTATAAACAATATAAATTTGTAAAGAGATCATAAAACACAGAGCCTTAGAAATGATACTTCCTGTTAACTTGAGGAGCTTTGTTTGGTTGAAACTGACCCCGCTACTGGTTATGCAGAAGTCAAGAATTTGAAAAGTTTACAGACAACAAAGAAAAGATACTGATGGACGCCAGACTCCATTAGGTGAGAAAAGCCTTCTTGTTTTGTCTCAGGTGAGGTAAAACCCTGCAAAATTATGAGTGCATTTTTCTTTGTCTTCAAATTAGTATATTTCAGGCAATTGTATTCGTAACCTTTCGTTCAAAAGGGATTGAGATAAGGATATTCTTATTGCATACATTTGGGTCAAATCAGGTTGTGATAAGTGGGAAGACAATGACCATTTTACAAATACTTCTAATTATCAGTCTAGCAGGTAAAAATAGTTCATTTACCTTTAAATCAATATTTTTAATGAGACCTAGGTAATTTTGAAAAGTAGCCTATCCTATATCAATGACAACTAAACTTTTGGCTGTGAAATCGAAACATTTTATCATTGATTCAGTAGTCATTCAGTAGTTTCTTATTTTACTAAAACTAATAGTCTAATGCTACTTTTTTGTTTACCTTTATATTGTATCGTATGTTGACAGGTCTGGTGCTGTCTTGTTGTCCCGATGGGTGGATAAAGGGAAAGAACTCCTGTTATTTTATCAGTCCAAGAACCGTCGTCTGGTCCGAAGCATCGGTAATTTTTTCATACCACCAGAGATGTTAATAGTAAGATAATTGGTTCAAACACAGAGTCCTGTCATATTTCATGTGGTCGCTTGTATATGTGTACACCTAACTCCAGGTGCTTGTTTAATTTATTAATAACGCGAACAAACATTATTAAAAATGCAAAATAATTTGCTATTCATATATTACCATCAAGTATGTTTGGTATAAGAAATATTCATTCCAATGATTCACATACCCGGTTATAATTGATTGATATTTTTATTTTTGCATAAAATAAACTGATTTACAATTGCACAAACATTAAAAAGTACCCAAATTGGCAAAAAACTATAATTGTGTGTGTTTTCAGAGCATTTGTCAAGCATTCCATGGTGAGCTAGCTGTTATCAACGATGCCGAAGAAAACGCACTTATTGGCAAAATTATCACAAACATAAGAGGTAATTCTTTATATATCATAATGAATAAAATGTATTGAGGGAGAATGAAAATCATCTAACCCTAAGTGTTCAATAATTCAAAAGTATAAAAAAAAATGGTTAGAATACAAAATCAGGACAGACTGGTCTAAGCTGACAAAGCAGGTGACAACAGTGTTTTTTTGTAAAGCTCATTATTTTTATTATATTCTAGAGGATCTTGAATATATTTCTACAAGTGGTAATCCAACTTATAATCATACCCATACGTATAGCTCCCTTTCTAAGGAGGAAATTCTTTTAAATCATATGTCAGTTTTGATTTTTTGTTTTGTTTTTCCAACAACCTGAATGAATTTCAACTACCATATTTATACTGGGTTCAAAAACTTTATAAAAATCCTTACAACCAAAGATACATTGCGGGTTCCAGTACATTATCAACCAAGCAGCTGTCTTTACATTGTACTCCTAACAAAAATATTAACAGCAGTGAAGGAAAAATTCGAAAGTACTGTACAACAATATAACTGAGAAGTTGTGTAAATCGATGCAGAGGCTTTAAAATTTAAGGGACTCGAGAATTTTACCAAATAAAGAACATAATAAACTTACGACTTTTCAACTCTATATACTTGTATAAACATTCCCCGCAACAAATTAAAGTCGAGGCTTTTTGAACTCATTGACAGTTGCTTTTTCAATAAAAATGGAATTCGTAAAATTACTTACTTTGCAAAATGTTTTGTTGTAAAAAAAAAATTGATTGCATCTACAATTACACTGAAGTTGGTATTAAAAGATGCTTGAGTTTCTGATTGACATTATCTAAGTGAATTTTGGAGACTAGGTATGCCAACCATCCGTTGGAATTCATATGGGTATGAATTAAGTATAATTTATTCAAAATCTTCTATATAAGAAGAAGAAAACACTTGCAGTGGCCTTCAACTCGAAAATTAAGATATATATTGATTAACGATAGGTATTTACATTCATATGTCGACACGTTACATCCAAGTGAGCCAGTGAGCCTGAAATTAAAGATACCACAGAGTTTGACACATCTGTTTCATACTTGGGTATTATATTTATAGTAGAAAAAACGTTAATGGTAACCGACAAAAAAGCTTTATGATAAACTTGACTTCAACTTTTCAATTGTCAACTTCCATTTCTTATGCAGCAATATACCCCTTATCATTTGCATAGGGGTTTATTTCTCTAAGTTAATTCGATACGCAAGAAGATGCTGTACGTAATCAGATGATATTTGAATACTTCATGAATGAGGGAAGTTGAGGATGAAAAGATAAATCATTTAGTATGTCGTACAATTTAGTTGTTAATTGGTCTTTATCGTCTATCCCAGACAGTACAATTTCTTTTCCCCCTATTTTGCAAAGAGATACTTTCATCGAATTTAAATATACTGACACTCAAAAGAAACGCAACACCCTAATTTTAGGGTAAAAATTATATACAGGATATAACTATGTACCAAAAAAAGTTAGGACATCTTTAACTTTGCCAAATCACTCATTTAACGGTTGAATGATTTTCATTCCATTACCAGAAGTTGATTCAGCCCTCTTAACAGAAATCAAAAATTAGTATTTTTAATAAAAATGTTGACAATATTTTGGGTTTTCAAGGTTTTGTAGCTGTTAATAATTAGATCAACTAAGATTCCGGAAAAACTTCTTTCTTTTTCCGGATGTGTTGCCCATATTTCCTCAAAATCACGCATTTTCATTGCTTATGCTTCAAATTCTCAAAATAAAGAAAAAGGAGAGCTGCAGATGCACATATACACTACATAATGACTTTTCGGGCTCGTGTGTTTCAAAAGCATGAATAACAGTTCCTTGACCGGAAGTCCAAGGGTTACTACACTACGCCAAGTTAGAGAAAGTTTAAAGATAACATTAAAAATGAATCAGTCAAAACTTTTAATTATCGACATTGTAATTGTACAGGTGCCTTAACGACAAACCTTTGGATAGATGGATCCGACAGAATGATAGAAGGAGAGTGGTATTGGGCGTCAACAATGGAAAGATTTGATTACAAAAACTGGGCAATCAACGAACCAAATGACCAGAAGGAGTTAGAGGACTGCCTAGAAATATACCCGACCGGCTTCACGTGGAACGATAATAGATGTAACATCCTTAATCACTTCATATGTGAGAAAGAGTAAGTTTTCTTATATTTGTAGGGGATAAAAATGTATAAAACCCCGAACATGGCCACGAAAAAAGATATATTTATTTTTAGCTTTTCATAATTCATTTTAATCTTGAAAAGCACACTAACGAAATATATATCTAGAAGAATGTTTCGATATATTTTTGTACATGTAAATATTATTTTCAATAATTATGAAAAGATAAATTGTATCATTATGTGACATTTTCATTTTCAATAAATCTTCGGTCAGTGTGGAAGATATTATGTCCGATCAAGAGACTCCAGAATTCTGCAAACTCTAGAAATGATAAACGTTTACTATTTTATCATACCGATATAAAATTTAAATTAAAAAAATGTATCAAAGCTCCATTCAAATCTACGATTATTAACAGCCGACTTGTGGTTTATTAAAATTGTCGTCTGCTGGTGTTAATAATGACGTAATAGGGTGACTAGTATGTCACTTATTGCGTATTCTATACGTCACACCTCCGTCTATAACGTCAATGATTAGGAATATCATGAAATTGTAGAAATAAAAATATTTTTAGGGGCCGACAGTTTGCAGGCATAGAGCAAATATTATTACTAGATTAATTTCAGTTAGAGAGTTGTAGATCTTACAATAATTGCTATCATTGTTCTAAAACACAATAGTTCTAAAACACAATAGTTCAGTGACAAGGTAAGCAAAACAGTTCATGTCATGTCTCAATGGAAGACATATACCTAATGTTCTATGAATAAACACGAATTTGCACTCTTTTGAGGTCATGTAATATATGTTCTTATGCGTCTTTCTACTATCTATCTGTGTGTGTTTTTATTATCAACGAATGTTCAAAGTTTGAAAGACATTTTCAATTTCGTGCAATTATCTTACATACTCCATGAAGTCTTCATTTGGAATAAACTTCCTCGGTAATCTCTTTCTTTGGTTTTAACTCAACTTTTAGATGTTATATAGTAATCGTTATGAAACTTACCTTGTTTTTTAATTTCATTTCAGAATAGAAGCAACTGACCTTGTTGGACAAATTATTGGTTAAAATAAGAATTCTGTGAGACTTCATTACATGTATTAATAAACTTAACATCAACTAAAAAGGCTTGTCCTCTCCTGACTCTGGATGAAAAAAATTGGGTAGGAAGACAAAGCATTCTTTTTATTTTCAAATATGACTTCAAGGTAAAATAGTTACTTATTTATTGAAAAATTTGTGTGTGAAAAAATTGATTCCTGGAAGTTAAAAAAGTTGGGTTTTTTTAGTAGGTTCTGTTCAGTCAGACGATTGAGAGAGGGGAAACATTTTTTTAAAGATTGCCTAGTCAATTATTGTTTAATAAGTTTTTCTTTTTGTGTCGCCTGCAGTACAAAAGGTTCCTTTGGAATTCCTTAACCCGACATTCATCTGTCTTGTTGTAAATTCAGAATTTACAACATGAAACTATGCAATAATACTTAAGACGATTGATTTAACTTCAGTTGTTTTTTTTTTCTTACTTTGAAAGTATTATTGTTTAGTTTGATGTTTAAAATATACACGTGCACTGTACTGAAGGTTCCTCCTTTTACGCTTTCAGCTTGAAGCTAGGTTGTACATGTTGTGGCTTTCGTTGCATCAACCCATAATGAAGAATTAAACACAACATGATAAAAGGAACTGACATTTTATTGTGATACTAATAACTATAACCAACTCGGCTGGTTTTCATGGAAGGTAGCAAGAAAATAGATGTTCCTTCAATTCTCCTATATAGGGTAAAACGAGAAATCGTTTGTAACAAACTGGCTGCCTTGAGGAAATCCAACACAATCGAGCGCAACCAGGTCGCGCAAATCACGTGTTCATTACATCCCACGTGACTCGTGGCGCAATATCGTTTTCAGATTCAAAATGAATTACTATATCAAAGAAGGAAAACATTTCACAACAATCTATCACCATTGTTCTTTTAACAACTTTCAAAGGATAAAAATCATAATTACAATAAGCATCAACAAATTTCATTCTCTTTCTCTAAGTTCATTAATAAAAGTATAAATAATAGAGAGGAAAAATATTAAATTTGACAGGATCCTATATTACTGGTTAATAATTTTTAAATTATCTGGTCTTAAGCAAAACAGTTCATGTCATGTCTCAATGGAAGACATATACCTAATGTTCTATGAATAAACACGAATTTGCACTCTTTTGAGGTCATGTAATATATGTTCTTATGCGTCTTTCTACTATCTATCTGTGTGTGTTTTTATTATCAACGAATGTTCAAAGTTTGAAAGACATTTTCAATTTCGTGCAATTATCTTACATACTCCATGAAGTCTTCATTTGGAATAAACTTCCTCGGTAATCTCTTTCTTTGGTTTTAACTCAACTTTTAGATGTTATATAGTAATCGTTATGAAACTTACCTTGTTTTTTAATTTCATTTCAGAATAGAAGCAACTGACCTTGTTGGACAAATTATTGGTTAAAATAAGAATTCTGTGAGACTTCATTACATGTATTAATAAACTTAACATCAACTAAAAAGGCTTGTCCTCTCCTGACTCTGGATGAAAAAAATTGGGTAGGAAGACAAAGCATTCTTTTTATTTTCAAATATGACTTCAAGTTAAAATAGTTACTTATGGATTGAAAAATTTGTGTGTGAAAAAATTGATTCAAGGAAGTAAAAAAAGTTGTTCAGTCAGACGATTGAGAGAGGGGAAACATTTTTTTAAAGATTGCCTAGTCAATTATTGTTTAATAAGTTTTTCTTTTTGTGTCGCCTGCAGTACAAAAGGTTCCTTTTGGAATTCCTTAACCCGACATTCATCTGTCTTGTTGTAAATTCAGAATTTACAACATGAAACTATGCAATAATACTTAAGACGATTGATTTAACTTCAGTTGTTGTTTTTTTCCTACTTTGAAAGTATTATTGTTTAGTTTGATGTTTAAAATATACACGTGCACTGTACTGAAGGTTCCTCCTTTTACGCTTTCAGCTTGAAGCTACGTTGTACATGTTGTGGCTTTCTTTGCATCAGACCCATAATGAAGAATTAAACACAACATGATAAAAGGAACTGACATTTTATTGTGATACTAATAACTATAACCAACTCGGCTGGTTTTCATGGAAGGTAGCAAGAAAATAGATGTTCCTTCAATTCTCCTATATAGGGTAAAACGAGAAATCGTTTGTAGACAAACTGGCTGCCTTGAGGAAATCCAACACAATCGAGCGCAACCAGGTCGCGCAAATCACGTGTTCATTACATCCCACGTGACTCGTGGCGCAATATCGTTTTCAGATTCAAAATGAATTACTATATCAAAGAAGGAAAACATTTCACAACAATCTATCACCATTGTTCTTTTAACAACTTTCAAAGGATAAAAATCATAATTACAATAAGCATCAACAAATTTCATTCTCTTTCTCTAAGTTCATTACACTTAAGTTAATAAAAGTATAAATAATAGAGAGGAAAAAAGTTAAATTTGACAGGATCCTATATTACTGGTTAATAATTTTTAAATTATCTGGTCTTCATAAAGATAAGAAAGATTAATATTCCTCATTTGGTCAATGAAAATCAGTCATATTAAAAAAATGAAATCAAAGAAAAATAAATCATGAAAACAAAATAAACAAAGAGGATCTCTCGAACTTGATGTTGTAATTCCAATGATTTTTCTTTACAAAACTGAAAAATGAATTAATGGGGGAGTATTATAAGAAAATTATTTCAATAATCAAATATGAAAACTGAAAACTTAAAAAAAAACCACTCACTTGCATTCCACATTTTCTTGAAATAAGGAGTACCACAAAAAATAGTACATGAATACGTAGACAAACTTGTAGGTGCAAGTGTACTTTCAAATTGGTATGAAAATTTAACGTATGTCTTTTGGGAAACAGTTAAAAACTTATACCCAGTTAAATTACGTGATGTTAAAGATCTGAAGCCATCAGTACTTGCTTAAATCAATAATTTGACCTATATCTAGCACCTTGTTGACATATTGCAATCATTCATCACATAAAAAATAAATAACAATAAATAATTACATATAAATATTCTTAATGAACAGACAAAACAACTGTACAGAGCAAAAACAAAACGTAGGGGAAAACAGCATCTTAACTAATGAACTCAATTACCCTGCAAAAGCAGTTTGATAATTAATGACTAAATAACCCTGTTGTTAATCTGATAGGTGTCAAAAAAAATAATAAAGTATACACCCTCAAAAAGCACACTCAACAGCAAAATGTTCAGCAAAAGTTGATAACAAAACCATGGTAGGCAGCCATTCATACAACAGTATTTGTAAGTTTCTGGAATGAACAAAGGGGATGATCACATTCTCACAATTAACACTGCCTAATGATTCAATGGTAATTAAAACCGTGATTAATTAATGGGAAAATGATAGCATTCCAGATAACAGTCCTGAATAAAAATTTTGGGAGAATATGAAAGATTTGTACAATTTTCATAGACAAAAAAATTAATAAATATCAGGTAAAAAGCATCTCGTAACGTTAGATAAAGTATATGTAGATTATACAACAGTGTTTGCTAAAATTATGTTTAAAGACTTGGTCATGCTTAATCGTATACTGATATAAATAGAAAACGTCAGTCTTTGGCTGTTAAGAAATGGAGATCATTAAAATCAGATACAATGAAAACCCTTCATAATGAGAACCACTCAGGTTCTCCAAAAATATCACGAATGAACAACTCACACAGTGTTCCAAGAACTGCAAATCAAAAAACTGTCATCCCGGACACGCCAATTCTATTGTTTCTCGATTAAAAATTAATTTCAGCTAATGGCGTTAAATGTGTCTCATAACTATTGACCAACAAAAGGGAAAGATATGAACAATCGACATAAAAAGGACACAACTTTGGGATAAAAACCAGTCTTAACATTTTGTCATAACAACATGGTCTTGTCAAATATACGGAAAAGCAGGTGAACACAGTCTTAAGTACGTACGACCACTGCACCACTTGTTGCATTGCTAAATATGGCCGTCTTCGTCTGATCTCTGTTGAAAAAATTACTTCGCCAAGATTTTATATCTTGAACATCGAACCCGATCCGCACATCGTTGTGCTTAGCACTTACAAAGTATCGAAAACCTTATTGTGATTTCCGTGTCATCAAGACAGGAGATTAAAAAACATTCCAGCAAGACTTAGATTAAGTGCTATAACAAGTACCAAAAGCTGGCGTTGTTGGACAAAATCCTACAAAGAAAAAAAGAAATGAACTTTTTGACAAGTTTGATACTAAGCTTTAAAGATTGAAGTGTATTCGGAAGTATTGAAAATAGAATTTCTTATAAGAAAGAACTGAACTGAAAATTTTGACCGTAATGATGTGTTTAAAAAAAAAAAACATTGACTATCAAATACGTACTCTTAGATCTCCCAGAATCACGGTTACATCCCCTTGTCGTCTGCGTTCAGCAAGCTCTTGTAATTTTCGTAACTCCTCGCGTCTTTTCGAACTCAACTTGAAGGCTTCTTCTCTTGACATTGGTTTGATTTTATCCTTCTGTTTCATTGCTGCAATGTCTGGAAGACTACCACGATTACCACCAGATCGAGTCAAGCTATTTTGGCTCTGTATATGGAATTCATTTGGAAGGTTACCTTTCGACTTCGAAGGAGTTGGTGCTGCATTTACACCCGTAACTCGCTTTCTTATTCCATTTTCAATGATAAAAGTTTCGGGGTTTCTCACATTTTCACTGCTGTGTGCTGTATCTTTTAATCCAGATTTGGAAATGTCGTCCTCCTTGACTATACTTGGCATAGTGCTTCGCCTAACTAGATGTTTATCGCTATCATTGTCATGTATTTTGTTGGAAACCTCTAAATGTCTTGGTGAATTACTAACATGGTTTCCTTGCAGACGATTTTGTGTCACGTGATCATTACCCTCGTTCTGTTGAGCAGTGTACTGGTCGAAGTGATCATTGAGAATGGTTGAATTAAAAATCTCACTGAACCCCCGTCCACGCCTTGAACCTGCAAGGAAACTATATCTCCTAATTTTGAGGGAAGGACTCCGACCGTGAGGCGAATGATTTGGAACGTTATTTTCCGGTGAACTATTTAAACCACCAACATTAAGGTGGTTCATGTCCATTGTATTAATACTGCGGATTGGACTACCGTCAGGCGACACTTCGTTCATAGGAAAGAGACCAGGGTATGGGGCTGAACCAGGAGGTCGGTCAAGGTCATCCAAGTCAGATTTGTTCAACATCAATGACCTTGACCGATTGTGAGGATTGTGATTTGGTACAAGTTTTTCGTGGCCATAATCAAATTCATCATTACCGAAATCGCTGTTGCCATTAGCATTTTGCTCTAATAATTTTTTCTTCATTATATCTGTGCCTGTAATAAAATAAACACACTTTCATTGTATTATTTTAGACGGAACTAATCACCACGCATCATTTGCAAATACATAACTAAATGTTCGTGACTTGAGAATTAACCGACTTATTGGATTCTGTTGTTGGAGAGATACAAAGTATTCATTATCTATCTAGGGTTGTCGTTACCGCTACACTCCAATTAACACATGTGCAGGTACATCTGTAATTAACTGTAAACGCTTGTTAAACAAAATTCTTGGAAAAAAATTTAAATGATAAACTAAAACGCATGAATATTCGTTTTAATTATATCTCTTATTTAGAAAAGCATTTACTTTAGTTTAATGCTCCTTAAAAGGATTATTTAACTTAAGTTTTAAATTTTACTAAGCAAAATAAAGTTTCCTAAAAAGTTTCCTAAAAACTTTGAAACTTAATCGTTTTCGGAGAAGATTTGAAATAAATGTTAAATCAACATTTCATAAATAATCATAATAATTCATAATTTTTCTAAAATTAAAATGTTCATCGTTTAAAACTTGTACAAGAATCAAATTTAAAACGAGCGATAGAGGGTGTGTTGCAGAAGACAACTCTGGATAGATAATTACAAAATACTAGTATTATGCAATATTGATATAGTACTATGTCGTTGTTATACGCCAATGCATAAACAAAGGTTATAATTCAAATCTGGTATTTGTTAATATGTTGAAACTATAAATTCATCGCTTTACCTGGTTGATGAAATTCTGGGGCGTATTCTTTGGCTTTGATCCGCGCATGATCCGAATCTTGTTCCGCTTTAATGGCGGATTGATCTGCCTGTTCCGCTTTGGCGCGTGCATTGGCCATTCTGAAAAATTATTATGACAATATTTAATAGATGTGTCGAAGATGCCGTATAATTAAAATGCTTAATACATGTATTCAACACATTTGTTTGCTAGATGAAAGTTTCCTTTTTGTTCATAAAGTCCAAGTTTAAACCAAATATTTTTTATTTGCGAATTCTTAGTAGGAATTGTATGTCTCGTATGATCGCACATGGTTTGTATTTTTATACCCTCACCAAGGCTCAGGAATAAAAAATACAACAACTCGTTGGATAACAATCACATCCAATGATAACCAACCCAAGACTATCGCGAATATATATAACTAGGTATATAGAAAACGATACATAGTACTGCAGAAGGAATGAACAAATACTCAATAAAAAAAAATTAGTCTGGACCAAACTGAATCATTCATGCTAATGTCCACATCATTGAGTATTACATTCCTCCATCATTGAACAGTTTCAACCTCGATTCTTTCAGAATCTCTTTTACACATACTTAGTAAACAGACCTCCTTCCAAACTGGTCACCAAAAGTATTAGAAAAAGAAGAGTTATGCTCACAAATTTGAGTGGTATGTACATTTTTTGTTGTATAGAAATGTCTGATACTTCATATGCTTTGGGAATGTCAGTGGGCGATTCTCGTGAAAGTAGCATTCTTATGAATAGAGTTACCCCGCTTTGAAAACATACTTGTAACAACTGTTGCATACCATTGATAGTTATACAAGTCATATTCATAGTTATAAAGCCAGCATCAATTCTTTGATCAAAATAATATATGAAATTCTAATAATACAAACAGTAGTCATTACAGCAAAATATCAACGTTTATTACCAATGCGAATATCTAAGCACTATGGCCGCCATTGTTATACCACTAAGATTTATCTTAGCATAATCTTATGCTTAACGTAAAACATATGGCATTGTCTTGCCTTGAGATTCATATCAGAGAAATATGCGAGATTATGCAGTGCGGTGAGCTTTATTATGTGTGACTACTTAGTACATAGCCGATATTGGGAAGAAATACCTTTATCTAGATACATCTGTCGTTTTTACCTAAAAAAAAAAAACTACACAACTTTTAGTGTTGGTTTGGTTTTTTTTTCTAGTTCTCTAGATACATCTGTCGTTTTTACCTAAGAAAAACTACACAATTTTTAGTGTTGGTTTGGGTTTTTTTTTTTAGTTCTCTAGAGCATATTTTTTGATTTTTTTTTATAATTTGATTTTTGCAACTTTTAGATGTCTGTGTAGAACATATTTGCTGCTCTCTGAAGCTCCATGTGCGTCTACCTGTAGTTAACTCAAATTTGATTCTTCTCAACCTAAATACACCTAACCTTGTTTGACATAGACCCTTTAACAGGTAACTATAATCCTAATTAGCCATATGCATGAAAGGTATTCTGATTGACGAAAGCTTGAGCAATAGCCTAAAATTTTGGAGACAAATAGATACATGTTTTAAAAAATAAAGCAATATTGTTACCATCCATAAACTATGCTAATCACAATTACCTTTCGTCCAGCTAATAAAAACTACATTCACCACATTTTACTTCATCACAAAAGTCATCCAAGTCCACCACAGTAAACTCCTGTCCACCACAATAACCCTTGTCTACCACTGAAAACCATTTCCCATAGTTAAGCGTTGTTCATCACAGACACCCCTGTCTATCACAGTAAACACCTGTCCTCCACAGCAAACTCTGTCTTTCACAGTTAACCTCTGTCCACCACTGTAAAACACCTGTCTACCAAAGTAAAACCCCTATCTGCCACAGTGAACCCCTGTCTACACAGTAAACCAATGCCCACCAGTAAACTCCTGTCCACTAAAGAGGACCCCTGTCCACCACAGTTAACCCCTGTTCTCCACAGTAAACTCCTGTTCATCACAGTGAACCACTGTAAACCCCTGTCAACCATAGTTATCACCTGTCTACCACAGTAAACCCATGTCTACAAAAATAAAGCACTGTCCACCACAGTTTACCCCTGTCAATCACAGTTAACGCCTGTCCACCACAGTAAACCCCTGTTTGCATAGTAAAACCCCTTTCCATTACAGTTAACTCTTTTATAAGAAGTTAATCAGGTCCGGTAAACTTCTGTCCATTATTGTCATTCTACTTCATCACTGTCAAGGTCATTCCAGAACCACATGAGATAGCGCTAGCTTATCTGGCCTCAGTGTGCTGTTATCTTAGCTTCAGTGTGGGTGTGTTATTGAGTGTGGGATTAACTTGACAAAGTGAACTTGGATTTATTCTCAAATTATTATCTAGTTAACATGGCTACTGGCCATGATATGTCTTCTGAAGATGCTCTACTGGGGCTTAATGATTCTTCAGAATCTACAAATACTAGCACTACTAGTATATTTGGAGCACTTGACAAACTACAGTCAACAATGAACTGTGTAAGTGCAGGAATTAACAAAATGGGGGATGCATTTGCTGTTTTAGCAGCAGCATCACGAGAACCTCCTAAATCCGAAAAACGAAAAATTGTTGAAACGGAGGAGGGGAGTGATGAAGAAAGTCACGATGATGACTATGATGATGAAGACGATATAAAAAGTCTACTGAATGCATCAACTGATAAGGGTAAAAGTGCTTCCAAAAAGGAAGATGACCCAGGCAATTCAGTGTTAGATGACATTGAATTGTCGATTGATGATGATGAAGATGTTGGTGAGGAAGTTTCAGAGAAACTTGCGGCAATAACAAACAAAGCTTTTTCAAAACAACTAGCTTTTGACACTGTAAAAAACAAAAAGTCATCACACAAGCGACCTAAGAATTGTGACAAGGTCTTTGTACCCCGGGTTAATAAGGAAATCTGGAAACAAATGCAGAAACAACCATTTACTAAGAAAAGAGATTTACGGCTCATGAATGTTCAAAGTGTCGTAACAAAGGCTGCATTTGCAATTTTGCGAGTAGCAGATGGGTTACTCAAAAACAAAAACAATGACATCAACTATGACAATGAACTACGAAAGTGCATGGACGCAGTGTTCATGTTAGGACATGCAAATACTTGTGTAAGTATGCAAAGAAGGGAACTTCTTAGACCAGTTCTACGAAATGAATATTCTACACTGTGTGATGGGAATATCCCTGTAACATCTCTCCTATTTGGAGATGATTTAGCAAAATCACTCAAAGAAGCAAGACAAGTTGGTAATGTTGGAAGAAATTTCCAGTCAAAAAACGGGAAACGATTCTGGAATCGCCCGAGAAAAGACTTCGGTTGGAAGAACCGTGCAAACGAAGATGCGAGAAATCAAAAGAAATTCAAGAAAACATAAAAGAAAAACAAAGCCAACCATCGATTGAGGTAAGCTTGGAAATCAAGCATGATTTGCATGAAAATATTGCTGAATTTGAAAAACAGTTTTGTGATTTTATTCAAGATGCAATTGCAGAGGCTCAGAGAAATATAAAATATTTTGAAGGTGGTAGAATAAAGCATTTTTCAAATCAATGGAAAGAAATAACATCTGACAAGGAGATCTTAAAAATTGTCAATGGTATAGAACTAGAATTTAAATCGGGTCAAATACCAATGCAAACAAAAATCCCTAAACAATGTCAATTTAAAGATGAGGAGAAAACAGCTATTGACATGGAAATAAATAAACTTGTATCAAAAAAGATTGTCATCGAAAGTGAATATGAACAGGATCAATTCATTTCGCCAATTTTTCTTAGGCCTAAAAAGAATGGCACATTCAGACTTATTTGTAATCTGAAAGAATTGAATGAATTTATAGTGTACAGGCATTTTAAGATGGAATCTTTGCAATCAGCATTACGCATGATTACAAAAGATTGTTATATGGCTTCTATTGATTTGAAGGATGCATATTATTGTATACCAATATCTGAAAAATATCAGAAATACATGAAGTTTGTGTGGGATTCAAAATTATACATGTTTAATGCTTGTCCCATGGGGTTATGTATGAGTCCTCGTTTATTTACGAAAGTGCTTAAACCCATTTTTTCTTCTTTGAGGCAAAGTGGACATCAATCTGTTGTTTACATTGATGATACTTATTTACAAGGAGAAACTGTTGATATTTGTAACAAAAATGTAATGGCTACAATTGAAATGTTGTCAAAGTTTGGATTTGTTATAAACCCAGATAAGTCTGTGTTTTATGCAACACAAAAATTAGAATTCTTAGGGTTTATTCTGAATTCAAAAGAAATGTCAGTAACATTGACAGAGCATAAAATAGAAAAAATTATATCATTATGTTCAGAATTTTTGAAAATACGAAAGCAAACAATAAGAGAGCTAAGTGTGTTGATTGGGAACTTAGTAGCAAGTTTTCCCGCAGTACCACATGGTCAATTATTTTACAGGCAGTTAGAGAATGAGAAAATAAACATGTTGAAAGCATCAAAGGGGAATTTTGATGCTCAAGTTACACTTTCTGAGTTAGCACTAAGCGATATCAACTGGTGGTCATGTAATATCTCTAAGACCAAGGCACCAGTGACCAGAGGTCAACCTGACATTGTTATCGAAACTGATGCGAGTCATTTGGGTTGGGGCTATAATTGCAAGAAACTTAAAATATCAGCAGGAGGCCCTTGGTTAGAAGGAGAAAATAAATTTCACATTAATGTTCTCGAGCTGAAAGCTGCTTATTTTGCCCTTTTATCTCTTTGCCGGGACAAGCATTATTCCCATGTGAAAATTTTGATTGACAACACCACAGCTGTGGCTTACATAAGAGAACAGGGGGGCAGCAGATCTTTGCAATGTAATGAATTGGCCAGAAAAATATGGTTATGGGCTTATGATAAAAATATTTGGTTATCAGCATCACATATTCCAGGTAAAGATAATTGTGATGCAGATTATGAAAGTAGACATTTTAAAATCGAACATGAATGGATGTTAGATAAAGAAATTTTACAATCTGCTATTAAGAAATTGGGGTTTGAACCAGAATGTGATTTATTCGCAACAAGAGTCAATAAACAGTTTGAAAAATATGTATCTTGGAAGCCAGAACCCGAATCATTTGCCATTGATGCATTTTCTATTTCATGGGCAGATCTAAAATGTTACTGTTTTCCTCCTTTTAGTGTCCTACCAGCAGTATTACAAAAGATGTCAGTGGAAAGAGTAACAGGGATAGTTGTGTTACCAAATTGGCCAACTCAGCATTATTATTCAACAGTTATGAAAATGATCATTGCGCACCCGCTGTATGTTCACAAAAGAAAAACATTGTTGCAGATTTCAAATTCCGAACAAATTCACAAGATATGGGACAAGATGGATCTACTGATTTGCCTTTTATCAGGAGATCAGTTGAAAATAGACAATTTCCGGAAAACGTTACCAAAATACTTTTATCATCATGGAGATCATCTACATCTAAACAATACGAAAGTTATTTACGGAGATGGCAAGTTTTCTGTGGTGGACGGAAGATTAATCCGTTTTGTGCAAATTTAACAGACATTTTGGTTTTTCTTACGGAACTTTCGGACAAAGGTGTGGGCTATTCTGGTATTAACACGGCTAAAAGTGCACTTTCAAATACAGTTACATTGGCTGACAATGAAAATGTGTTAATTGGTGAACACCCTGTTGTAAAAAGATTTTTGAAAGGCATATTCAATCAAAAACCTTCTTTACCACGATACACTGAAGTTTGGGATGTATCATTAGTGTTAAATTGGATGAAAAATATAGACCTAAATGAAATTTGTTTGAAATTGTTATCATGGAAACTGGTCATGTTACTTGCTCTTCTATCTGGACAGAGGATACAAACGTTAAAAAGTTTTTCAATTGACAGTTTGCAAATTACAGATGATACAGCAACATTTCGCATACAAACATTGTTGAAACAAAGTCGACCGGGTTATCATTTACCAGCTGTGTCGTTTTCCTGTTATCAAGCAGATAGGAATTTGTGTGTTATTTCACATTTAAGAAAATATATTACAGAAACAGCAAATCTTAGAACTTCTGATCAACTTTTGATTAGTTATCAAAAGCCACATGCGGCGGTGTCATGTGACACTCTTGCGCGATGGATAAGAAACGTTTTACAGCAGAGTGGCGTGGACACGTGTGTGTATTCGGCGCATAGTACAAGGGCTGCTTCCACGTCCGCTGCGGCCGCCATGGGGTGTCCTATAGACGATATAATGGCACAAGTTGGTTGGTCGAATGAAAAGACATTTGCAAAATTTTATAATAAAGAAACTGTTAAAACATGCAAACAGTTAGATGTGAAAGTTTTAGAAACTTTACAAAATTAGTATTGTGTGAAATAGTATAGAACGTAATTAGTGCATTTAGATAAACATTGGGAAATGTGTTGTTACATGTGTTGCATTTTTATTACTTGACTGAAGATGCAATAGAATAAAAATAATTCATTTTTTCGCTGCATTTTATTTAATTAAAGGTGCAGGGTTTATGAATAAGGACATCATTTAACAGCCTCAGAGCTTTAAAGTCTCATGTGGTTCTGGAATGACCTTGACAGTGATGAAGTAGAATTGAAAATTAAACGAGACTTACCTGGAAGTTGAAGTTTGATTGTAATTCTACGAATCACTGGAAAGGAATGGAGGAATCACATGCCCGACCCAATATTTTTAATTTCCCTACCCTTGTAATTAATTTAATTTTCTTCTTTAATCGGCTATTAAATGATTCTTTTTTAAACACTGAGGCCAGATAAGCTAGCGCTATCTCATGTGATTCCTCCATTCCTTTCCAGTGATTCGTAGAATTACAATCAAACTTCAACTTCCAGGTAAGTCTCGTTTAATTTTCAATTTTCTGTCCACCAAAGGTACAATTTATCCACTACTGTTTACGTCGCTAAGCCCTGTCCACCAACACTTATCCTACGCACTACAGTTTACTTTGTACCACAGTTTACCCATGTAGCTAACTCTTGTCAATTGCAGTTAATTCCCGTCCATTACAACTGATGATTGTGTTTAAAACGTTAATTTCTAATAATGAATGCAATTTTGTTCGAGTTTTCCATGAATGGGCGGGAAATATTGGGTGATCAACTAATATTCGAAACTATTTCCAAGCCCCATTTGTGAGTTCAAGGTCATATCAGTCTGTGAATGGTTAAAGATAAAAAAATAAAAAGATCAAAAAACCGTCAAGGATATTACAGCTACACGTGTGGAGATGAAGTAATTACTGGAATTAAGATCAATGAATCTCCAACTGATATTATTATGTAAGCTCATCATCAAACATGAAAGCAATCGGATAAAAATAATCAGTCTAAATAAGAATTGCAATATGCGTCTGAGTAGAGGAAATGGAGTCTTTTTTCTTATAGATATTCGCCGTGGAAGAGTACATCGTTTTTGGATGACAAACAGAGAAAATGACTCAATTCCATAGGAACTAGTGCATTTTTTAGAACCTTGATAATCACATGTGGAATTCTTGAAGGGGAACAACGGTACATACATCATTTAAAACATTTTAAAAAAGAAGATCGACTGTCAATGATATTCAATACAGTATTTGTCGAGTTATTCAAACTACTCGAATACGGAATCATTACATATGGTTGCTTTGAATTATTTACTAGAAAAAAATAAACTAAGAGTCAACTAGCTCTCGAGCTTTTCTTTAATGTAACATCTATCAGCAGTTTTGAAGTATTATCTACTCACATCAATGCTGTAGATTGGCACCGCAAGCAGCTGCAACGAGAGCTAGAGAGCTTGTGTGTATTGCTATCAGTCTGTGAATGCGTATGGATGAGTATAAGAGACCAGTCTAATTTGACGCTACTGTTATTCAATGCGATAAAAATGTTGTCTGATGTGCAAAGGCAAACATGCAGCAACTTATTTCGAACGGTTTGGAAGTTTTGGCACAATCATTGAAGCATATTCACAGACATCATTAAGAATCACAGAAAACTGTGTGGTCGATTTTACTACAAGTCTTCCCTCAAACAATAAAAGCAACTTGGAAGCATCGATCCTCTTTGTTTACAGAACATACACTAGACGGTACTAAAAGGTTAATTTGCTTTTAGTTCGTAAAAATCTACAAAACCTTAATTTTAATCGATTAATGATTTAAATATGCTAAACATTTCATGATACGTTTGATGTGTCACATCATAATTATCGTCTTTTCGTCTCCGCGGAATCAAAGCTATTGCAGAAGACGGGTTAAATACAATCGTGATGCAGTGTTTCTACTAATGATCAAGCATTGTGTTTTGCTGATTGGAAAAACACAATCCTCTTTTGACCTTCAATCACATGTTCAATCCACTTCGCGACAATCTCTAGCAGGCTGTCATAAAACCGTGTCAGATAAATCGACTTTTTGCATTACTTGATATATATTTTTTGTTGTTATTGATTGCAAACGACAGACGACGGATGTTGAAGTAGGAAAAAACATGGCGGGAAAAGCATCAAAGATGGATTAGGAATCGTCTGCTTCCGAAACACAACTAGATAATTATGTCTACACACCCTAACTGCCAAAAGGATCACATATAGTGTAGATATGTACAGGTCTGATAAGACCTGTCTGTTTTTCTTGTTTGAAAATATCAAAAAAAATTGGTAACAGTGTGTCGAATTTAATAAAAATAGTAGTCAAAATGTAGGCAATTCATTGTTATACAAGGTGTGAACAGAAAAGGTAAACAATATCAATGGTTCGAAATCTACAAATGTACCATAGTTATAAGATAACTTTGAGAAACAACAAACTTTTTTTTTTGAAAAATTAGAATGCAGATTTTTTAAAATTATAAAAGTACACTTATTCTTTTAACTTTTTAAACATTTTTAAAGTGTCATTAATACTTGTTGAGAGATTCTGACTAGTATGTAGAATACATTCATCAATTTCAGTTCCAATCTACAATCCTGCTATAAGTATTGTTCAATATTGATAATGATAAATTAGCAAAAAAAAAAAAAAAAAAAAAAAAGATTTTTGAAAAATATACTTATTTAAAAAAAATCTTTATTCACTTTTCAGAATTTCAATATACATTACTTATTTCAAATATATCAAGAAATGACATCTTGGAGTTTGAATCAATTTAAGTTTGTTGAGTTTGAATACAAGGGTGAGGGTAAAGCATGAAACCTTAAAAAGGTAACCCACTTACGAAACATCACCATGCATGCCATAATAATCTATCTTCGTTGATGATTGAATGTTTATGTGCACACTATGGGTTACATGTATAAAATATCAAAAAGTTAGGGCAATCTAATGTGTGTTATTCAAACAGGCAAAAAAAAAAAAAAAAAAAACAAAAAACAAAAAAAAAAACAAAAACGCGCTCACAGCTCGCGAAACTACCTAGCATTTGTGAAACATTACAATCGTGATATTTGATTCAAGGTATTGAAAGTTAATATCATAAAATGATCATTAATGCATGGTCATGCTCTCCTCTTTAACTTTTTAAAATAACGATAAGTAGAGCTACAACTATCAGAGAGAAAAAAAAGGGCGGTTAGACTGGAAACAGCGTAAAATTAAGGTGTGAAAAAAAATCTGAGAGCATCTGAAATATATGATTGCATATGATTGGTTATTTACATAGTATTTTGCATATTTTTACTGTTTGTGTCATCGCAGATGTTCAAATTGTACTTAAGGATTAATAAATGCATCTACCTCCTAGTTTAAGGTTTAAATTTTATTTGATCCGAAGTTTTAACCGTGAACCGGATATCGTGGGCTTACTGCTGCTTTGACGTCATTGGTTCTCCACTATATCTTACTACGTAGTATTTTTCACTCACCTTGTAAGTGCAATATCCGCTTTTTGTAAGGCAATTTGTGCTCCTTTTTGCGCCGATACCACTGCATTTTCAACTCGTTCTTTCAGTTTTGAGGTCCGAATTAGAAATAACTTATGTTTCTTTCCTGAAGATATTAAGACATTGTTCTTATATTTCCCTTCCTCCCTGGTGCCATCTTTGAACGTAGTCACACCATAGCCATATTTTTTGTTGTTAAACCACTCGCCTTCGTATTTTAATCCATCAGATCTTTGACTCACTCCAAATCCAGATCTCTTGTCATTTTTCCACTCTCCCATATAGGATTCTGTGACGTTGACATCAGTGATGTCATCTTGACTGACAAAACTGAGATTGCTATCTGTGTACATGGAGGCGTTGGTAAGCCCTGATTGAGTGGAATCCACACTTGCATGGCTTAGACTACTGATTGTACTTCGAACAGACCCCGTTCCGGGTCGCTTGGGTGACGAATCGTTAATGTCCCCTGTACTTTTTTGTTTCCTGATTTTGATCTTGCTGAACACCGACTTTTTGAGACTAGAACGTTTATCTAAAATCGAACGCCTTCTAGTTGGAGGTGTTTCGTCACTTTTGGCTTTTAAGACAAATCCACCCCGACTTTCATCCAGTTTCTTGTCTCTGCTTTTAACGACGAGTTCGTCTTCGTTTTCGCTGCGAAGGGAGGTAAGCGAAGCACGCATCTTTGGGCGGTAATGGGAAGCAAGCCCATATGGAACGCTTTGTCTCACACCATAGCCATGTCTCATACCCCGTAGCCATTGACCTTGATAAGTCCCTGTATAAAAAAAATAAAATTAATTAAATTCTATGCATTTAACGGTTTTGAAATATAATATTTACAAAATATTTTAGGTCTGATCATATCACAGACAATTGGCAATTTGCATTAGCAATTAAATATTGATGAATTCAGTCAATGTAGGCCAATAAAAACCAATCTGGGTCAGTGACATTGTGTTTTAATCTTTCCTGACCTTTAAGCGATAAAGAGTCATTTCAAGATTATCAAGAGTACACAAGATCTGGATTAACGTTTTACTTCAGCATGAGTACTTGTATATGCTTACTTGCAACTCAATTTTTAACAAGGTACTTCAAAGAATTCTTAATTTTAGTGATACGATAAACAATTACCCTAAGACTTCTTGATGTCTGTAAATAATAAAAAAGAATAGGACGCAAATGTGCAAAATCCAGAATGTTTTGGCCATTGTTAAAATCCTTTTGATTGTGCACAGTGTACCGTATCCATTCAATTAAAGCAAAATGTCCTTGACGTTCAAGACTTCTGTTGCTTATAAAATTTTTGTATGAAAGGAGGAAAATTAACAATTTGTCGGTAGAAGCCGCGAAAAATCAATGAAAAACAGGCTAATGTATTTAGGTGAAAACTTGAAGGACGTTTTTCTGTCTATTGTATTGTCTACTTCACATGCTGTTTCAGATACATGTTGATCGATAGACGGGCCCGGGTTTCATATTTTTTTCATCACATTATCTTTATTAAAGATTCATAAGGGAATACAAGGAATTCTACACGATTCTACAATTGACTGATTAATTTGTAGGCAGTGGTATGCAGGCTTCAATTTGGAGCATAATACACAGGGCACGAAATATGTTAAATGAGAAAATTTTTGCTTTTTAATACTGAAATATCACATATTTTTGAGGGGTCAAATTTTCAAGGTTTGAGGAAAATTTGTGGTTCATTGGGATTTGATTTCGTGGTTGAATAATTGTTCAGTAGTATTATATGTGAAAAGTTGCATTTCGTAGTGGATTTAAATTCATGGGTCTCTTCATACCTTGAAAACCAAGAAAATAGAAAATTAAACCCCACGAAAATTAGTGATTTGACAGTATTCAGAACAATTTTAGTCGCATATATTACTAAGTTCTAGAAGAACTCTTTGTAAATTCTGACTCTGTGAAATTGGATGCTTCGAGAATTTATTTTCAAAACGAAAAGTTTGCCATGAATATTTTTACTTGGATTTGCATTCCACTTCCTAAAATTGAACATTTTACAAAGGCAAAAACGCACAATTATTCTAGAAAAGACAAATTTCTCATGAAAGCATGCACAACGTATATCTGAAAATAGACATCAGATGCAATATAAGAAAAAATCTTAAAATGAAACAAACAGACATTGAACCTGGATTCAAGTCAACAACACTCAGCAAAAAATATTTGTTAAAAAAAAAGGACAACGAAAAGACAAAACAATGAATGTATTTTCGTCTTCTAGCTTAACAAATGCCAATTTTTCTCTCGTTACGATTTCAAAGAAAAGATTAATCGTTCCAGATATTTTGGGGTTGGGACGGGTTTACAACATTCGTCTGACACTATATTGAGTTGTAACATAAATTTCACCAGAAACCATTCAGACGTTCTGTATTTTTATTCAGCCATGAAAAAAATCTTGGCAAATGCTTTGCAGAAAACAATTGTACAAGATATGGTTGATCCAGGGCATCGTTGCACAAGTTCTAGTTTTAGCATCAATAACATCACATCCAGTAAAAGGAATGAACGATAATGCAAATTAGAAGATTCTAAAAGACACTACAACCTCACAACTTTAAATGTTGATAAAAAAAAACCATTCAAAATATTAACCAGCATATCACTCTCATATCGTTTAAGAAAAAGCAAAGTGTACTTAAGGGATATTTAAATTTTTCTATATTTATTTTCTCTTGTTATTAAGTTTTTTTTTATTATCAAAATTAAATAAAAGTTAGGATGACATCATTCTATCTTTGCTCCTTCAGGTCACCCTTTTTTGTAGGTTCTTTATTTTAACTACAACAGATTTTCTATTTCTCTTTTCAACTAATCACGGCATTGACATTTTCAGATCATTCCAGCATTGGGTACTTTTCCTTGAATTTCAATTAGGTTTTTGTAATTTACCGATTTTAAATGACATGCAGGCACTTTGGCTTTCAAAAAAAATCAACGGAAACATTTATTAGCTAGAAACAAGTTCTTGATATTCTTTTGGGACAGAATACAACTCATTAAGAAGTTCTCATCAGTCTAAGAACTAACTAAGTTAACTCCTACTTCAAGAAACTTACTTGAGCAATGATTTGTTGAATTTGCAAACTCGAGTTTTGGAATTTAAATGCAAAGTATTACACATATAGTAACTTAGAATCTGGAAACATGTGCCGTATTTTGGCATATAAATGTATACAATTTATAACTTGTCTTGAAAGGAAACAAAATTCGCTGTAAAATTCGCTCCAAACAATTCTACGGTTTTTGGTAAGTGTCCAAAAAGAGCGCAGTTGGGATCAAAATATGTATGAAATTATTGCACAGAGGCGTTATAGGTATTCCACAGATGTGAGTATAAAACAATAATTGTGATAGGAAATTTATTTCTCCTGGTAACAAGAAAAGCCTTATCTCGGTAACCTTTGACATGAATCGAGTCTCATCATAACAAAACTAGGATAAATTAATGGTTTCTACACCCTCTCTGTAATTTAAATACTTTTAATATGGGCTGACCAATTTACCGGATGAATGAAGGTAAAGCGAGGAAAACGGATACTCGAGATATGGCGCTAAATTACAAAGATGCGCCATGATGGAGAGGTACCTTGATCACGTGATCCATTCTTCTCGAATGAAGTTGATTGTTAACAACAATATGCTGCAGTTCTAGCATTCCGAAATCGTTTCAATTGCGTCATTAGCAACGGAATATGGGGCTTTCTTCCAAGCAGTACCATGAGGTAACCATAGCCTAGGGGAAAACACCTAGATCGGTTTTATGAATGGAATCTTTAGGACTTTCGTAATATTATCCAAGTTTGATATAATTGTGTGACAGTTTACACAGAAAATGAGGATGGCGAGAATGAAAAATTTATTATCGGAAAGTTACGAACACTAATTGCGTTCTTGTTTCAAGACTCATTTGTGCTCGATACACTACGTGACTTGTTGCAGTGACAAAGCGAAGAACAAAAACATAATAAAATATTTAAAAACAAGGAATAATGTTTATTCAATATTCATACTCTCATTAAAATTCAAATATCATTCTTAAAGATTACGGCAAACCTTTAAGCTACATGTACCGGTATGCAACAAATCGTTTTTATATTAATGTTATGAATGCCTATACCAAAGTAAATCGTTGTGACATGAATTTATTTTGGTATTTTCACGTTTATTAATAATCAAACGTATAAATAATCCAATACTTTTTTTGAAACATCTTCGTTAAATAGTTGTGACATCTGTACATGTGAAATATCACAACAATCTTTAATCAGGTTTAACTCTTTTTTCTGTATTGATAAAAATTTAGAATAAGGCGTTCCATCTACTATTTTTCGAATCGTTACAGCAAAATTGCAAAACCCATAATACAAAAGACCAAGAAGAAAGTTATGACCTTGATCTAGATTGACCTCTTACAGTTTTCAGCAAAACAGTTATTTTCCTTCCCGAGTTCTGACATCTTTTAGAAGAGTTAACTAGAGGTAATAATTTGTTTCAAAGCTAATTATCCTTATTTTTTTTTGATAAGTGGATATAAACATTTTTACCCCATTATCATTATTATTATTTTTAGAATGAGACCGATTTTTTTTTTTTTTTTGCTTTGAGTTAAGTAAAAGTATATAACATTGACACCCAGACATCATTCATTTTTTACCAACTTTGTAAAAAAAATTGTTATCATCTTGCCAGTGTCAGAAAAACGGGTTTAATGAGGACATGTTGTTAAATTTATTGCTTCACTGCATGTAATTAGGCGGCAACTAACAATATATTGCGGGTAAGAGAAGTAAAAAGAGGTAAAGAAGAAAAAAAAATATCCGGATCAAGGACATGGCCGTGCCTATATTTCCAGTTTTCCTACAAATCCATGCATGTAGAGAAGATGCTTTAATTTCCGTTTAATATGATAAAATGATGTTTGTCTTTTCTTCTGAAAGCCTTTAATTATTGATTTTTTGAAATGTTTAGTCCGTAAGACTTTTTATATGCAGGATTTGACTGCCAAATGTTTCGTCTTCCTGGTTCATGCACCCAAAGGTTGTAACCGTTCAACAGGGACGCTCTCTTCCCCTTGGTACCTGATCCTATATCTGTAGAATTTCCGGGACACTGTGATTTATACCCTTGTATCGTTCTTAGACATATTTGCTATCGACCACTTTTCGTTTTCTTCACGTTCATCATTGTGACCAGAAAAAAAAACTATTATAATTTATACATATATATTGACTGAATTCAAGGGCAACATGCGTTTTGTCGGATCCAAGAATTAACCAAACTGTTTGTCTAAGGTCAATAGTTTAGTTGGAGGGGTTGACAAAACGCATTTTGCCCGAGAACACAGTCAACAAATGTTTTGTCATACCTTTTCTTTTTTCTTTTTTTTTTTACATATATGTACATTCATGTATCTTGTGCTAGCTTCCATAATAGCCGCAATGCTATTAATTTGGTCAATTCCGTCAAAGTTGTTAACCAAAGAATGCAAATAAATTAACTAATCACGCCCACAATCTGACGTAAGCGGTCCAATATTCGTCGACAGGTCCAATTCTACACATGTATTTATATAGGAACCAAATTTCAAAGGTACAACAAATTGTTTTGTTGTATAAAAAACGAATCAAATAAAGAACAGATTTATAGAAACTCATTTGTATCCAAAGCGTTAATATTAATTATTTGCGCATTCTCTGTAGTGCTAGCGAATGAAAAAGTTGCCATGATTGTGTTGCTCTCCCTCTTTTTTACTTGAAATGTGACCTTATGTGCTCTCGCAGTCGCTACGTTATAAAAAATCAATTTAAAAAAATCAAAACTGATCAGAATCAAAATCGGTTATTTTGGGGGGAAAATTCTCTTTTCTATAGTCAACGAAATATATGGAGCTAACGAACAGTATGTATTCAAGCTCAAAAATTTGGAGGAGAGCAAAAACGAACCTCCAAAACATCAGAGGTTGGATCAGATGCCTTGGGAATGTGAGCATCTCCAGCCGACTGGTCATATACGCCTTGTGCTCCTTGTCATGATCGGGAAATAACGGAAAAATCCGTCGACGATTTAGTGTGTAAAATAATGGGCTAGCAACAAGTATAAAAAAAACGTCAGTCGGCATTTGACTTAATAATAAACTATTTGCTGATAAGGTCATTGTGTCAACCATAGAACTTACAAAATGATGACCTCATTATTCTTGTTTTATCAACTTGCTTGTCAATAACCTACATCTTATACACAGAGCATGCTCTTACGTACCAAAGTATTCTTTCGGGGGGAACTTATAATCATTTATGTCAACTCTATTTCTACAAAGAGATTTTTCTTAACTGAATACAATAGTCAAATCTATGAAATGAGAACTTTAACAAACTAATTTCAATTTAAGAAACGACTTGTAAATAACACTGAATCACATATGCAAGGTCACATGACACAATTTGACACGACAAAGGCAAGCGGAAGTGATAAATTAAATCAAAGAAAACATTAATTTTATCTATTGTGGATTCTTAAAAAATCTATCTGCATTGAAGTAAAAAAAAAGTGAAACACAAGACAATATTAAAAGCATATCAACGTTCTTTTGTGAATAAAATTAGAGAAAAATAGGTCACATCATGGTCACGTGACTCACCGGAAATGTAAATTTTACCAGGTTTTGTTGGTGATCCTGGATAAGTTGGCATGAAAAAACAAGAATTAATTATATTATAACAACCGAGGAATTAAAGGCTTACTGAGAAATCTAGTCACCTTTATTTAAGAACAATACAGTATAAAAACGAATACAACCTTGATATGAAGATGGGGAAAAATCCGGAAAAAACATGCACAAATAATACTGGATAGTAGGATCATCACAATGAATATTGGGCTGGTTTTTATTTGCTTTGAAGTAAAATGACTACGATTGAAGTGCATTATATCACTTTAAAAAGGATCAGAACGCATGTTATAGACAATTAGTCTGACTTCTAGTGAACAGATTCTCAATCATATTGTATTCCTTCATTAACAAAAGTTGCAGGTCGGTGGTTGATTTCGATTAAAGATTTTGATTCATTATTCAATACTCCAATAACCTCTTTTGATGTAAGTCTGCAATGAATCTATTTATATCACACCAATAGGTCATTTGTATGGAAAGATGCTGAATATAGCCCAGTGACGCTGCCTTCGGTCCCATTATAGAATTAAAATTAATGAATGAAAGGAGTCCATTGTACTCTTACCCAATTATTCTACGAAACCTGTACAATATACTTATATATAAAGTTACTTCAATAAATCAAATACTAATAATTCTTAAAGAAAATATTTATTGAAACGACTTTTACGGCACACCAAACTTCTGTTTCGAAGAAAGAATCTTGAAATTGGTAAATATAGTTTATGACGGGACCAAAATACTTTCACATAACTATTATTTACATTTTCTTGCTGCAAGTTTGAATTAATCAATACACATGCATTCTGATGCAGAACTTAACGTTAAATATTTGACTCCACTTTGTCGGGCCATGGGTATAAATACCTAAGAATACCAACTAGGGTTTTTATGCTGCGCCATTTATGCTTGACGCTACATAAAACTCATGCAATCAAAAACATACAATAAATTACAGTTTTCTGCAAAGAGTAAAAACTCTACAATAAATTACAGTTTTCCTCAAAGAGTAAAAACTCGAAATATTACGATGACAAAACATTCCTTAACATGCATGCAACTTCATTTCGTTTTTCTTTTTTTTTTTTTAATCCTGAACCAGAATATATTTCCGGTGAAATAATCTCATTTTTAAGTCAGACAGTCGATTGGGAACTAGTTATTTTTGGAAACGTGTTCGAAAATAGCTACAAGCCTTCTTGTTAAATGAAAAATATGAATTACAGATTATCTTTTTTTTCTCTTCCCCATCCCTTCAAGGTCAGGACTTGGTTTGAAACAATTTTTATGATACAGCAAATGTATTTTACGAAGGTACGCGCTATTAACCTGTCAATCATGGACTTTTAAGAGTTCTACAATCTAGAATAACTTATAAACAACAGTCACAATACACTGTTGAAGTTTTCACTAGCTTTGAAAAGTTCTCAAAGCAATGACATTTTATAAATGTTCCATATTGTTATTTCTTTGTAGATTTAAAGGCAAAAAAAATAATAAAAAATTGATATATACTTAAATGAAAGATAAATAAAGCTCTAAGGAATTCTAAACAAAAGTGACATATTTAATAATTTATAAACAACCAGCACATATCTAGTCATATTCGTTTTGTCAAAGCAGCAACAAACCCAAAATCGCAAAATGAAAGATAAGCAAAGCAAATAGACAACCCTCTTTCTGATTAACCAAACGCAAACTGAAGAACAACTCCTTCTTTTAATTACTGTCTTTTCGTTTTGATAATTACGATTCCTATTTTTAACAATTTCTAAATTGTTCTGTAGTATCTTCAATGTGGTTAATTTGTCTTTAGTAAAAATAATGTATTATGTTAGTCAAGGGTAATAAGCGTATGAACTAACCTAAGTTGAATTGCTGTTCAGAAGAGCCGAGATTGACTTCTGAAAGGAACAAGAAAGACATTTTAAGCATAGCTTCAAATCCAAAGATAGCATAAAAATGAGCATCAGTCAAAATCAAACAATAGCATTGACATGTCATTAGATGTGATTATGCATAATGAAAGTCTGAAACAATGGCAAAACACATTACTTGTTTCTACAGTGAAATCTCTTTATCTCGAACTCTATTAGGCCTGAGAAAGAAATGTCTGCAGAATCGAGATATCGAGGTAAAGTTACATAAAGCAAATAAAACTTTCATTGGACTTCCATTTTTTGTTCAAGAAACTCCATTTTGTCTTTTTCCAACAAGTATAAGCACTGAATGAATATCATTTGAAAATTTCAACAAAAGTATAAAGCCATTGCAAATAATGCAAAGATTAAAAGAAAAAGTAAATTTGTAATTTCTGACTTTTTACTGTATTCAAAAGATCGCCCCAATATATATTTTTTTTCTCAGAACAAGTTTTTAAGTTCCCCTTGGATCAAGTGCATAAAATATATGCCAAGCGTGCAGAAAATGATCTGCAATATTCAAATGTTAAGACACAGAACTCATGCCTGAATCAGCATCGTGCATCATCCAGAAAACGGCAGGGTGTCAATGCTCGAAGGTTTGATAGATGTAACGTTGTCTGAGGAAGAACCAAGAAGTCGAAAGGTTCAAAGTCATAAATAGAAAACAAGAACGTCGAAAGTTTCTGAGTTAGACATGCAGAATTCAAAAAAAGAAAATATAAAGATGATACAGTCATTAGAGCATTAGAATATTAGTGAAAGTAACAAGTCTATATATATGTACAGGTAGTTCGATGTAGCGTTGTAACGCTGAGTATTTATCATTTTTCCTGTCAATGTTCTCACTTGAAGATATACGGTAATAAAAAGAAAAGTATACCAAACAGTTTTTGAAGAGAAAAACATCGGTCACTATAAAGCATTTGTTCTCGTGAAGTCCTTAAAATCGTGAGTCCTTCAGCATTAATTCATACTCAAATATTTATGTCAATATCTGCTTGAAAGTGAATAAATTTATATATTTTTCATATTTTAGATTTAAAAATATAAACGACTCAATCAATTACATTTTTGAATTTTTGTATTAAACAAAATTAAACAATCTGTGCTTAAGAGAAGGCTTTATTGGATGCATTCCACAGCATCTGGTCTCACTAAGAACTAATTTATCTTTACACAGTCACAATATCATCATATCTCCCTCGTGTCTCTCTCGAGTTTTCGCCACTTGTGTTTTAGAACAGTACGGATCAAGGATGCCTCTACATTGGCAGACGATAAACAGACGTTAGATAAGCTAGATGAGATGTAGATAATTCAAAGGTCAGATAATGGTCATACCAATCATACAAAAATGGCCAAGAAAACAATGGAGGAACTTTAAAAAGTTGCCCAAGCAAGTGTGTAAAACTAAAACCATCGACCACTAAACCCTATTTATTTCAGAAGGCCAAAATAATCAAAAAAGCATGTACGTGTATACTTTTTGTTGAGAATAAGACAATTAATCAGCCATTGTGGCCCCGCCCTATCCCCGGAGGTCATGATTTGAACAAATGTGTATCTACACAACCTGAGGATGCTTCCATATAAATATGATGAATTATGGCTTTTTCATTCTTGAGAAGAAGATTTTTAAAGAATTTTCCTCTAAATTTCTATGTAAAAATTTGGTCGGCCATTGTACTTATATCTCTCCCGCACACAGTTTAGATGAATACAGGATTGGAAGTACATCTTCAATAAGGTGTCTTCAACTCAATCATACTTGTGCTTTAGACCTAATACATACATGTAGATCACATGTTTCATAGAAATTATCAGAAGTGAACCTTATCCTTAATATTTCTTCATTATCCACGGCTAATTGTGATGAGTTACGTGTCATACCGCTTCATCGGTTTCACGTCAGCAGCATTTTGTATTTTTCACAGTTTTTTCTATAAGGTACTTTGTAGGTCATGAACAAAATATCGATTTCTGCTGTATACTGCGACAGAGTCTTTAACATACCAAAGTTATACGATAAACCGACGCTCTCAGCATAGCGAACTACCAAAGCGTGTGCTGGTGCTCTTTGCCTTGTCGTACTATAGAACGCTATAAGTTTCATTCTTGCCTGATATTTACTGTGATAGATTATTGACAACCTACTCTTTTTATCTGGTATGAGATAGACATCAAGCAAAAATTGAACAAAGAGCTTAAGTTTTATGCTCTAACAATGATGGTTAACAAAAAACATGGACGGAAAACCTCAAGATTTGATCGGTGAGGTCTTGTATGATAAAGAATATATAGAAAAGGGCATTTGAATTTTATTTTTATTGAAATGTTGGTTTTTTTTTGACATCTGAATGATAGAAGTTTATTGCTTCAAAACTACCAGAGAATAATTGCAAATACCAAATTGCCGGTGCCTCTGTCCCAATCAAGCTGTCTTAAGTGGTCTTTGAAATATAACACATTGTTTGAAACGATTCTTGCCGAGAATACAACATGTATAGTACTTACAAGTATAAGTCTAGGATATGGAGGACGACATATACGTAATTAATCACTTTCATGGCGCTTATCAAACGTCCAAGTGTTCCTCTTACAGTACACGAGTTACAAGTTAATGTGACTGACCATCTTACTTTTTTCTACTTTTCTTGTAATCTTACTTTTTTCTACTTTTTTGTAAATCATATCTAGGAGTTTTTTTAAATGCAAGGACTGATTAGACTGATTGGCCATTACGAAGTGTCTGAGTGTCTGAGATTCCATACACTTAAAAACCATGCTGCATGGTCAGCAAATTATAACCATTAATTTCATGTTAATAATAGTTCATGCTAGCAACTCTTTCTTCATAACGAGCAGAAGAGTAAGGTTCATTTTTAGTCCAACCTTGTACCCTTGCTGCGAACGCGTGACTCGGTGTATCGCTGTTGTCTATGGCGTCATCTGAGTACAATTAGCGGATCTGACAGGCGGCCGCTTAGAACATTACTCTCTCGGCGCTTTACAGTACCTTCGTCCGCGGTAATTGTTTTGATGACAACTAACTATTTCTCGTACACTACTAGTACATGGCGCATTTATATTAGAAAGTATGGTGGAGCAATGTTTATCCACCAGGTGGACGCAGCCATTTTGTAATGTAAACGAATATATTACTCCGCTGCGCGTGGATGTTAATTTCCCGACTATATGCCTTTCTATGAATGTTTATAATTAGAAGAACACAAGACGCCATGAAGCTTCACAGAAACTGATGAAGCTGACAAAAATTTACAGTCACAGAACTTAATGAAGAATACAAGAGAATTAATTACAGTAGACTTTCTGAGGTTTCTACTATAATATAAACATAATAAAATCAATAGAGGTGCGGTAAGTCAGACATTTACGTTTTTAGTCAATTAACAAAGTTCTGACATTTTCGATATAACAGGTGTTTATATTCGATTGAATATATTGTAAATCTTTAAACTGAAAAATATTGTCTGTCAATTTCGAAACAATAAATCAAATATTCCCCTTGTTCACACTTTTGCAATATATTTTGCTTGAAAAAGAAAGAAAATGAAATGATTTGTAGAAAATAAGGAATTTTCATTGCCTCTGAACAAACAGTCAGGAAGCCACATCGGTCAATTTTTCATCGGCTTCATCCCTGCATGGACGTGTTACGCGCGCGGAGAAACAATTTTCCCTGAAGTGAAAAAATCAACAGGGAGAAACACACAGCTATCAGTTCATTCATTAGTGAATTTAAGCAAGTTGGCATAAAACAGATGGGTTAGTGGTGCGATGCATCATTTTACAGACAAACAATATCGTATGCATCTGTTACTGATGAAGATTCAATTTACCCCCTTAGCTTAACAGTAGCAATGTATTGTCTTCAGTATGTGCATGTGTGGCAAATATCTAGAGAGTTTTGCACTTGCATGAGGCGGATCAAAAATTTCTGTACAGAATTTATTTCAGGTTAATCAATATATTGTAAACTATGTCATATGTCTTTTATTGCAGATACACGTGTTCTATACTGAATCAATACACAGCAAATAAAAATGCATTGTGGGTGGATTTTTAAACAATGCATTAAAATAGGATTTATGGTCAATAAACACTGTATTTTTTCCCTTTTTTCAAATTAATTGTAGAGAAGAGAACATTAAAGAGCTTTGAAAGATGTTATGTCATTTTATACACAGTGAATTATCTCCGGATTTTCCTGTTTTCGAGAAGGAGCACACGGCGGTGGTGACCGGTCGGCAGAGGATGCTCACTCCTTCGTGGCACCTGATCCCACCTCTGATGTTTTAGAGGTCCGAGTTTTCTCTTCTCCTGATAATGTTGCTTGAATGGACTTATAAGTTTAAATTCTGTTCGTTATCTCCATATTTCATGATAGACCTTGATCAACCAGGTAGTTTTTTAAGGATCATTAGTAGGCAAAATAAGTCATGTCAAATCTACGTGTGCAGCAATTCATCATGTAATTTTTTCGCACTTAACTATTTTTGCTGTCAGATAATATCTCCTCGAGCTTGCCAAGATGATACATGTACGTTAAATCTTCCTATATTTAATTATTTGGAACATTAAATTACAGTTTCTGTTAACAGATTGATGGGCTCATTTAAAAATATCTTTCTACACATTATTTCTTTTTTTTTCTTTCTCGGCAGCAAAAGCAATGAATGTAGCAACAACCTCACGGTTAAATATGTAAAATGTTGATTGATGTTGACTTTTATTTAAGTAGTCTCGTTACTAGTGCACTAGTATATGGCGTAGTAATACATCGCGTCATCAACCTTTACACTTTGTGCATTCAAACTAAGAGACAATTTCCAGAAAAACCATAGAACTACTACCTAAAGATTGAAAAAACCACAATTCCTTGAGCAAATAGCATTCAGAGTTTAAAGCATTCATGCATATAACAGTAGTCTTGTTATCTGCCCAGTTTACTTGGCTCC